TAAGGCACATGAGGTACGTGATGGCACTGCAGTTTAAACCACAGAAGCCTCTGTGCTGCAAGGTCAGATGACCAGCAGTCGTAAGATCAAATCCATATGACGGAGTGAGCCCCCATCGCTTGTCCCAGCTCCTGCCAACCTAGCAGTTCGAAAGCATGAAAATGCGAGTAGATAAATAGGTACCACCACAGTGGGAAGGTAACAGCATTCCATGTCTAGTCGCGCTGGCCACATGACCATGGAAACTGTCTTCGGACAAACGCTGGCTCTATGGCTTGGAAACGGGGATGAGCAGCGCACCCTAGAGTTGGACACGACTGGACAAATTGTCAAGGGGAACCTTTACCTTACCTAAGGCACATACCTTCCTGGTATTGTAATCAAAGGCTGGCAGTGTCAACGTATCTACATAGGGACGAGCTCCAGCACCAAGAACCTGCTACATGCCATACACTATTCTGCAGAAATAACTGGGTTTTCCCAGTTTGAGATGAAGATGGGTAACATATGGTTTGCATGTTGTCTACTTCCTTCTGTACTACCTCCCAAATAGTAGCATAGGGAGGTAGCATAGAAGGAAGTAGATACAACCTGCAAACCATATGTTACCCATCTCCATCTCAGGGCACATCTGCACTGATAAAATAGCTTGCTATTTGTTTACAGTCCACATGTGTTTTGACTTAGAGCAATCCATCCCGTCCCCTTTTAGATCTGTCCTGCTCCTTTTTGGCACAGCAATGGGGCTATAGTCCTTTTGGTGTGGTTTGGAGGACTCCTAATTAGTCCACACCAAAACAGAGCTGTAGGAGGTGTTATACGAGGTGACCTCCGTGATGTATTTGATAGATTGTGGCATTGAAAGAGATGACCAGAGAACCCCTTCCTCTATTTTCATCTACTCTGTTTTAATATTTTAAATATGTTTTCCTGTTGAATCAGTGCTATTCTAGATAAATGAGATACACTGGCGGTATTATGTATACCATGCTAGGTAGACATATTGCTGTTTCGCTATGTCACTTATTGACGAACCATAGTTGTGGGGAAGGGAGCAGGGAGAGGAGTGTCATTAATCAAAGGCTCTTAGGGCAATCTGAAGACCTATCTGGGCCCTTCTCACAGGAGAAAAAATGTCTATCGGTGTGAAGGGAAGGTTGCTCAAATGAGAGATAAAATAGATCACAATAAAGATGAGAACTTTTAAAGCATGAACCAGACCACTCCAGTTTTCCCTATCTGAATATGCCCTTAGATCATCATAAATGAGGCATTTGCTTCTGTACCTGTCGGATCAGATCTACATGTCTCTTTTAACCTTTCCTGAATCCACAATCATCCAGTTTGGATCTCGGGGTGACTACAGATTCAGGGAGGATTAAAAGGGATGTAGAGGTAGGGGTGCCATTATTTAAGGTGGTATCAACCATCTACTAAATTCTTCTGTTCACATAATTTTATTCTGTTGACAAAGAGACTTCCTTGTGAAATCTTTCCAGAGCTTAAAAAGAGCTTAAAAGCTTTCAGGCTCTTATGTGACCTTTGAATTGGAATCAATAATTTCTCTTTCTTTGTGAAGGAAACAGTTTCGGCTTTCCTTCTTCCTCATGCGTTCTTTCTCTCTCCCTTGGGGCCCTGGGATGTGGCCTCGGATGGTTCCTTTGCCCTGGGGAGAGGCTGGAGGGGCATTCTGAAAGCCTTTATCATCTTTCTTTGGAGGAAGAGGCCAATCCAACTTACAAGCCTTGCAAGCCACACCCTTTGCTCCAAGATAAATATGCAGAATGGTTTAGTGTGTTTCCATGCTTTACTCAACAACGAGCCCGCAACAAAGAAAGACAGGTGAAGTTCCCTCCTTGGACTTTCTGTAAGTTATGTTACATCCTCTGGAAAGGAAATGAGGTTTGCTGAGACAGAGCTAGGACCCAGACACCTGCAGCAGAAGAGAGGGTTGTAGTGTGTATTAAGTGTTCTAGGACCAAGAAATGTAACACTAGCTTATTCAACAGTTAAAGAAGGGGTCTGTCTTCTTTTGCATGCTGTGAAACTGGGAGTCAGGACAGATTGGTCCTCTATAAGCAGAACTTGGGGAAAATAACTTTTTGAATTCTGCGAGTTGTTGTCTTAAAAGATAACCTTCCCAGTCTTTGTCTTAGAAAAAGATAAGAAGCTAGCTTCTACAGAACTAGCATGATGGTGGATCTAACTCAGTATAGTCTGATGACGGACATGGCAAGATCTTTCTCAGGCTTCCGGGAGATTTTCTTATCTGAAGATGCTGGGGTTTGGATTGAAAATGTTTTCCATGCAAAACAGGTGGGCTGCCCTGACTGACAGTCCATTCCACAGGGACATGGAGCCGCGATAGAGCTTGGCCTTCTAGGAGAGATGTGGGATATTTTGCAGCAAACTGGGGGAAGGAGATGTCATTTTCTGTTAGGATTTCCTACTTCTTCCTCAAAGGAACTCCTCTGCTCTTGGGAATTGTGGCATATTTCCACAGGGGGAAATGTTGCCCATCTATGCTTCGGCATACCAGGAAAACCTTCCCTCCATCACTTTCTGTCCGTCATGTGCCTGTTAAGCATCTAGAAATCCTCCGAAAATGCTGCTGTGAAAGTTGGATACCCCAGTGAACAGAAATGAGCTATGGTGTTGGTCTTAAGCATTAGAAAAAGGCACTGCTGGAGTCTATTTATCATTGGAAGGGGATCACAGATCTGATCCACCAGGATTTAATCTCAGACCAGCATGTGTAGGATTGCATCCTTAACTAGACTAGATCTGCTAGAAGTAAACAAAAAGGAAAAACATGATGTTGCATCAATTAGGCTGAAGAAGTAACAAGGGGAGGCCTGTGAAAACGTAAGAGGCAGATGTTGTTCAAGGCTGCCTTTAGCACTGGCTAGAATTTACAGATATTCTGTGTGACAAAGAGCGAGTGAAGGAAAACATGATAGCCTCATACTCGCAAAATGAATTTGAGGGGATACAGATATTCTGTGTGACAAAGAGCGAGTGAAGAAAAACATGATAGCCTCATACTCGCAAAACGAGTACTGTGTAAAAGAGCCTCTGACTAAAGGGAATAAATTTGCCTCTGACTAAAAGGAATAAATTTTTGAGTTGATAAGAGACTGCAAAACATTTTAAAGTAACAGTTTTATATGCAGTCAAACAATCTTCAATAAACTGAGAGTGAAGTTTTGAAGAGGAGAAGAGAAATTAACTTTTGCCTTATTAGAAGGCAACATTTATTAGTATATCAAGGTGTCTACAGTTCCTACTACAGTACAACTCCAGAAGCTAATATATCCACTCAACGTTTTCAGCTGGGTGTAAGCAACACCAGTGGCATGTTTGCAATTCCAAAGCTGAATCAGAACAGTTTTCAAATGTGGGATGCAAGGTTAAGAGTTTTGCTGGAAGTACAGGACTGTTTAAATGTTATAGACAAAGATATACTTGAAAGTCAGCCAGCACAGAATGAATATAAAATTAAAGAAGCAAAGGCTTTAGTGATATTATACTCTTGTATAGAAGACCATGAGACTCCATTAGTAATCAAGTATAAAACAGCTAAAGGACTATATGGTGCTCTAAAAAGAAAATGCTTCACTAGATCAAGTAAAAATGTAATATTTTTTAAGGAAATGAGTGGCATCCAGCCCCACTTTATGCACTACCTATCCCAGAAAATGTAAGCTTGAATTCTTCCAAGCACACAAAAATTGCAAATAATTGTGTTGGCCCATTTGGGAGTGCAAAAAATCTTAGATGTACAATAGTGTAAGACCTGTGTTAGAACCAACTACAATGTCACCCGTTCTTTTGTAGTGCATCTTTCTCAGACTTGGTACCCTCCAGATGTGCTTGACTACAATTCTCATCATCCTCACCCAGCATGGAGCAATAGGGGATGACTTCACGTCCACCAGACAGGAGATAGCTCTCCTAGAGGGTTTTCGAAACAAGAAGTTTTCCAAAGAGTAGACATATTAGCCCCCTTCAGCAAAATAAGGAAGAGTTTTGTAGCAGATGAGGAGATAGATTGTAATCAGTTAATGCTCAGTTCAAAATAAATAAGTTAATCTTCAAGGCTTTTTGATGTTTTTCTAAACAATTCATTGCCAGCCAATGCTCACTTTTATGACAAGCAAACTTCCCTTGTCAAATGAAATGATTGTTCGGTTTGAGACGAGTGTTTTCAGTGCCACAACTCAAGCCCGAAAGATGCAATAAGGAAACTGAGCGATACCGTTTAGGCCTAATTATCATATTCTGTCCCTGAGGGTCACAGCTTCCAGTTCTGGGTTGCAAGAACACTCCTACATTTAGTCCCTCTTTTCAGAAATGAATTGCTGACTGCAGTCAAAAATGTAGCTCCGCTGCAAGAAAAAGTAAACAATAATAAAGTCATGCAAACTCAACTCTCAGGCAAAATAGTTTTTCATAACCTGAAATTTAATGATTTATTATTTGTTTATTTATTGCATTTATACCCCGCCCATCTAGCCAATTGACTACTATGGGCAGCTTCCAACATATATAATAAAACAATATGAAATATAACATTATAAACATCAGAAATCAAATTATTCAAGATGGAAAGAAGAGAAAGTAAATCAAGTAATAACTGAAGGGAAGGCCTGCCTAAACAGCCAGGTTTTCAACTGGCTTTTAAAGATGCCTTAACTAAGGGGCTGCACGGATCTCAGGAGGAAGATTATTCCAGAGGCGAGGAGCTAGGCCCAGTTTCTTGTTTTTTCCTTCCGGGCCTCCCTTGGCGTCAGGCTCCTCAGCCTCACCTCCTGACTCGATCGAGTGATACAGAAATCCTAGATAGAAGCAGACAGAACCTTCCAGGATTAGACAAGAGAAAAAATAGAAAAATTTCACACCATCCTATTGATATATCAGAGATGGTGTGTTAAACTGATATGACTTCTAGAGTTGATACGATTTATTAATTGATTGTACTTTTTGTCACCTCTCTCCAGTTTTCTTCTCCAGGTTGACCCGCGGTTCTGAGTGTCCGCCACACCACACCTTCACTTGCTAACTCTCCCCCAATACCAACTTTTTGTGGACAACACACAGGCTGGGCCACCAATCCCCCAAGCCCGGCCTGGCCTTGGCCGGGACAAAGGCTAACCCCTCAGAGATGGGGGTGGCCAAAGCCATCCGCCGTCTCAGTGGGGCTGGTGATGGGGTGGGAGAACTCAAAGAAGAGGAATCCATAGAATCGCCCACCAGCTGCAGCAACGGCAAGCCTGCCCCCATCCGGCAGCGCAGCCGTTTTGTGAAGAAGGACGGCCACTGCAATGTGCAGTTCATCAATATGAGTGAGAAAGGCCAGCGGTACCTCACTGACATTTTCACCACTTGCGTGGACATACGCTGGCGGTGGATGTTTGTCATCTTTTGCCTCTCGTTTGTGGTGTCATGGTTTCTCTTTGGCTTCACATTCTGGCTCATCGCTATCCTTCATGGGGACCTCGCCCCTGACCAACCACCAGACTCAAAGCCTTGCTTCTCAGAGGTCACCAGCTTCATGGCTGCCTTCCTCTTCTCCCTGGAGACCCAGACGTCCATCGGGTATGGCTTCCGCAGTGTAACAGAAGAGTGTCCATCAGCTGTCTTGGTTGTGGTGTTCCAGTGCATACTGGGATGCATCATTGATGCCTTCATTATTGGTGCAATCATGGCCAAGATTGCCAAGCCCAAGAAGCGCAACGAGACCCTTGTCTTTAGTGATATGGCAGTGGTGGCCATGCGTGATGGGAAGCTTTGCCTCATGTGGCGTGTGGCCAACCTGCGCAAGAGCCACCTGGTGGAGGCCCATGTCCGGGCACAACTGCTGCAGGTAAGGACATTATTAAAGCGAAACCCACAGACAAGTTACAGACAGGCAACATTTGTATAGCAACAGGATATTGTTCAAGTTGTTTATTAGGGTTTACAAATACATCAGTTAGAACCTACGGTACCTAATAGACAGATCAATAGAGGCAAAAGAAAGGTAGAAGAAAGGCAAGAAAAATTAATGAACCACTTTTAATGAAGTTCAGGATGGGGGAATATCAAGGGTTCAAGAGGATATGTGTTGCTTTTTATTTGGGTCCTAAGCTCCGGGTTTACAAATACATCAGTTAGAACCTACCTGATAGACAGATCAATAGAGGCATAAGGTAGAAGAAAAGCAAGAAAAAATAATGAACCGCTTTTAACGAAGTTCAGGATGGGTGAATCTCAAGGGTTCAAAAGGATATATGTTGCTTTTTATTTGGATCCCAAGCTCTACCAACTGGTGCAAAAGACATACATTTGGAACTGAAATAATTCGTAGCCCAGGGATTTGTTCTGAATATCTGAACTGATCAGAGAAGGAATAAGGTAATGGTCTGTTCCTGGAGGATAGACTTCCCCCCGACACACATAGTAAGGTCTTAAGTGATGCCCCCTGGAGATGGGGACATCACCAAACCATCAAAAGTCATACCCACACCTCACACCATCTAATCCTGCTCTCTTCCTGATAATCATGTTTCTCTCTGTACAGCAACTAATACAGAGTTGGATATTTCTCTCCGCAAGAATACCCTTGCTATATCCAGACTCAAGGACACTCTCCTCACACTCAACTCATGTTCCCAGTGAGGAATGTGGACAGAAAAAGGAAAGAAATCCCACTGCTGTCTCTGGTTCAAGATCAGAGGTAGCAACAAGACCGCCCTGCCCTGCTTGCATATGGCTGGAAGGTGCTGCCATAGCAGTAGTGATACACTGCTGTCTCTGGTTCAAGATCAGAGGTTGCAACAAGACCGCCCGCCCTGCCCTGCTTGCATATGGCTGGAAGGTGCTGCCATAGCAGTAGTGATATTGACAGTAGTTAATTACAGTGGATAGAATAAATGGGCAGATCCAAGACAGAGGTGAGGAACTGTGAGAAGGCTGGAAGGAAAGGTAGGCAGGTGGGAGGCTGTTAGAAGCACATGATATGAGTACACATTTGCAAATAGGCTGCTTATTTTCCCCACATCATATGTGTAGGTCCTTTTCTGTTCAGGTTAGACAGCTAGTGGAGCCTATTTAGGTCATTGCCATAGTGCATACATATAAGAGACTGCATGTTGCCCACCCCATAAGTAGGAGATCACAAAGAGCATATATGGGGTGCACAAAGAGATCATGTGCAGCCACCAGAAGTCATTTCAGAAAATTAAGTGACATTTCTTCTTATCACAGTCAAAGGAATGTTTGCTGTGCATTGTATTTTTATAACCTGAGAGGGCCGTTTCAGCCTATAAATCCCTAAATTTCTACCTGTGTCTTCTCTCCCACAGCCTCGTGTGACCCCTGAAGGAGAATATATCCCCCTAGACCACAACGATGTCAATGTAGGCTTTGACAATGGTACAGACCGCATCTTCCTGGTCTCCCCAGTGACAATTGTGCACGAAATTGATGCTGAAAGCCCCCTTTATGAGTATGGGCCTGAAGATCTGGCTGAAGCTGACTTTGAACTGGTGGTCATTTTAGAAGGTATGGTAGAAGCCACGGCAATGACTACACAGTGCCGTAGCTCCTACTTGCCCAGTGAGCTGCGCTGGGGACACCGCTTTGAGCCTGTACTCTTCGAACGACGTGGCCACTATGAGGTTGACTACCAACACTTCCACCGTACCTACGAGGTGCCTGGAACTCCAAATTGCAGTGCTAAAGAGCTGAGTCAGCGCAAATACAGGGCGCCCCCTGCAGGAGCCACTGCCGCCCGTGCCTCCTTCTGCTACGAGAACGAGGTGGCGCTCATCTCCTGCCGTGAGGAAGAAGAGGAAGACGAAAGGCAGGGAAGCAGGCGGGTGAGCCTGGAGAACGAGATGTCCACCACCACGTGACACCAGTCACCAGTGTCCTTGGACTGAGAAGGGCTGTGGGCAGTTGGGGAAGTAACGCCAACACCACGCTTTGCATAGTTGGGCAGCTGAGGTAACAATCCATAGGATAACACTTTCACACTTCACCCATCCTGTCCCAAAAAACACAACCGGCTTTCTGAACAAGGGACCGTGTTTGTATCACAAACTGTTGGTTGGGAAGGGGCAATGCCATTTTCTGGCATGTGGGCCAAAATGGCGGCCCTAGGAGATACCGAAGGGTCCCCCGTGATCAAGCACCGAAGAGGGTTAACGAAATACTGAGGGATGGAAGCAAACCAAATGTAATAATCACAACAAAGAAACATGAGCAAGAAAAATAATATCTACTGTATTTCAAAGGTGTCTAAGGAGCTCTAGTATCATCTGATAGTTATGACTGTATAAATTATGGTTCTGGCTGTATAGGTGAAGGCTAGATGGATCCAAGTGTTTATTGTCTGTAGGTATAAGGATACATGAATAAGATATCGAACAGTGCTTTATTGAAGATGTCTCATATGGCTTTCGACTGAGGATATCTTATCTAGGGGGCTGCATGATTAACAAGGGCAAGAGGGGTTCACCAGAAGTATAGGTTGGTAGGATTCCATGGAACCGGAAGCTACTTAGATGTCTCATATGGCTTTCGACTGAGGATGTCTTATCTAGGGGGCTGCATGGTTAACAAGGGAAAGAGGGGTTCACCAGAAGTGATAGGTTGGTAGGATTCCATGGAACTGGAAGCTACTCATGCATTCTAGGGAAATGCAGGATGGAGGCTTATTCTGTAGAGTTTTAGAACAGTGTCTTATCTTTTCAGCTACAAGGGCTATAAAGTATTCAATCACCAGTCAAGAAACTGCCCATGATCTTAACATCCCTGAAACTTGCTTGTCAAGTCCATATGAGGAAGCCCAATGTAAAATTCCAGCAAAAGTAACTGGAAGGCTTGTATATTTGAGTGTGTTTTCTTTACGACAAATGATCTGGCAGATTTATCAGGAGCGAACAATACTGATAACAAAGTGGATTTCTTTAAAGGAGATGGATAAGGTGTATACAATTTAACCAGTCACAGAAACAAGGGTTGTCATTAAAAAAGAAAGAAAGAAATTAAATTCAGTCCATCTGTGTTTTCTGCTTCGAAACTGGGGAGGGGGGGGAGAGAATCAACAGCATATAAGAAGGTACTCCAAATACGAATAATGTACAATCACTGTTGCCACTCCTTAAATGTATGAACATAATGCAGATATTAATGTACAGTATCCCCAGTATCAAACACTAATAATGCACTGTGGATGTGAAAGGAACCAAGAAAAAAAACACCCAAAACACTGTATTTTCCTAGTACTGAGTGTGGATGTGAAAGGAACCAAGAAAAAAAAAAACCACTGTATTTTCCTACTAGTGATGTTGCACTGCGTACATTTTTATTCTCAAGCTAGGCAGGATTAATACTGTACTATGACTCCTGTGTAGAATAGCATCTTTCCTGCTTAGGAGTTACCTGGACGGTACAGAAGGAATCCCAAGCTGTGCAGGAGTGTTACCATTTCTGTGCAGAACTGCATGTTTCCTTGAGCAAAGGAAAAGGCATGAAGCTGCACAGAATTTGGCAGCTCTCACATAGAACCTCAGATCGAAAACAGAGATCAGGGTCTTGTCTGCATGGGAAGCAGAAGGAAGTCTCAGCGGCAAGTCCTGGTATGGTGAGAAAATTGCTATGAATGAGAAACCATGTGAGTACTCATCACATCCCTAGATCAGACGTGAATAAAAAGAAGGGGAGAAATGTGAAACTGCATTTGATGATATAAAGCCAGGCGTTTTGCGCCCTGATTCTCACCATTCTGGTCCCATGATCTCTATAAATGAATGTAAAAGTGGGCAACTTCCTTGGTGGGGTGAGGAGGCTGTAATTCTAGCCTGCTCATGCTGGCTGGGGAATTCTGGTACAGTACTCACCATCTGGAAATGGAGCTGGACCAACCTCTGGAAATCGGTATATCTCTAGAGTTAGACTATTTGTCCAAGTTAAGCTGGACCTACATGATCAAGTACTGAGGAATTTGCTGTGAGTGTAAAATGGATAAATTCCCCTTTTAAAAAAAAAGGATCACGTGACATGAAGGCCAACTGGAATCAGTCCAGCCTCTCTTGCTCCTGATTCAGAGTTTTTTTTTCCTCCCCTGCCACTACTTTTTCCAAGCCAGAATGATTTGAACGGACTTTTCCCAATGGGGACCGTTGTTTTGTTCTCCAAAACAATGGCAGCATGACTGCGGGTGGCATTTTGGTGATGTACTAGGCTGGGTGTGACGTTTTGGACACTGGGAACACCCACCCTCACTGTCTTTGTAATGATGAGCTAGATCGCTTCATCTCTACAATGATATATACTACTTTCACATTAGATCACCTCTGCCCAGGCAAAAAAGGAGGGCAAAAATCAATATATAATTGAAACAACTGTGACGAACTACAGCGGACAACTATGTTTCTGCGGTAAGTATGTATGTACATTATGGAGTATTTGGGGAAACCGTCCCTTCCCTGTAGTGTTGTGCAAAACTTTAAACAGTCCACCAACTTTACAATGAACCATAAAAGCAGATGGCAGGATCAAAGGATGAGGGGCAGTAACCTGGATCAAACTACATCAGATTGAGGAGCCAGTAGGGATATTGGCACTGAAACAACCTGCAGTCTCCATGTGATCACCTAAACTGAACAGAAGCATAAAATAGTTTGTGAACGAAGCTGCAGCAAACACAAATCGCTCCAATTCAGCTTTCTGTGTAACCAAACCCTTGTGCATCAAGTCTAGTATTCTTTAATATGAGTTTACTCTGACTGTCAGTTCTTACTGGCAGAAGCCCTCCAAAGTCTCAAGCACAGATCTTTCTTACCACTTGATGTCCAACTCTTTTAACTCAAAGGATCACCTGGTGATTTTCTGTATGCAAGCAGGTGATCATGAGCCATTCCTTTAGGAAATGTTCTGTTTTTGTGAATTTATTTTCATTTGCGTCAAGAAGTCATAAAGGCGTTTCCCAAAGAACTGGAGCCTATAGGTCAGGCCTGCCCATCTCCCGCTTTGCTGGCCTCGAATGCCGGAAAACCTCCATCAAGTCTATGACTATCTCTGGGAGAAGAAACAAAGAAAATTAACTCTGCACCACAGAAAAGATGCCAGCCTCAACATCTGGTTTTGCCCCAAAGCAGGGTGCACCTCAGAGCCGTATGAGAGATCCCTATATAGACAGCAGCTGCCCAAGCTGGTCAGTTGACAGCAGCGTAGGCTGAAGGTCAGAGCGGTGAAAGCTCAGATTGGATTCACAGCTGGGAGCTCGGATTAATATGACACAGTTCCATCGCTAATCCCGGCTGCTTTATGCCTTCAACACCGGAGGAGGGCAAACACATTAGAAGCTGCTGCCTTGGTACTCCTCCCCATTGCCTGCTTCTTTCCCTGACCCTGTCATCTTGGGCCTCAAAGTGCTGGCACCTACTTTTCATTCTGGCATCGCTGAGGTGGTGGGACATCAGGAAGTCCTCACCAGCCACGGCTGAGCAGGTGACAAGATCAAGTGGAGGGGCATTCTTTTTGAGCCAAAAATAGCTTCTTATGAATCTCTAATCTCCAGACCTACAGCATCTATCAGCTTGAAGGTCACTACAGGTTGGGGCAAAAGACAAACATCAGCTTTTTCCTCATGGTAGCCTGACATTTACCTACTGTATGGCTATGCCTCTATCACTTTTCCTCATGGTAGCCTGACATTTACCTATGGCTATCCCTCTATCACTGATGATGATGTCCATTCTCTCTTGTTCACCTTGAGCTATGATCACATCCTCCTTTCATTTTTGGTATGTCTGGAAAGAAGATAACAGCAGTCATAAGGCTCCCTCTACCTTCAGTAACACAGTCTATCTCTACCATTAGGCAGGGACATGAGGCACCATTATAAAGTAGCATGCCGCTAAGCATTTAGTTGACTGTTATTTTATTTTTACCACCATAGGAAGGGTGCAAGAGAGGGTTCATTGGGATTTATTGATTTGGCTATAGTGGCAGCTAGTGCCTGTTGCAGGAGGGGAGGGGAGGCTCAGCAACCAATCACCATCATCATCTTAGAACTGCAGAATTGGAAGGGACCCTATAGATCATCAAGTCTAGCCCCTGTCAGGGAGGCACAGTGGGGAATTGAACTCCCTGATTCCACAGAGACCTAAATGATTGAGCTATCTAGCAGTTATGGTGGAGGGAGACAGGCCCTGAATGGATATTTGTATACAAACACAAAGAACATGCTCACACAAAGAGGACAGGTTACCACTGTTCAGTCACCACAGCTACTGTATCTACACTGGAAACCAACAACGACTACAGTATTATTAAATGGCATAGCACTTCAGTATATTTAATTCTTAGAAATTAAATATACTGTAAATTATAAATTCCAAGGAAGTTATAAGACCATTGTTTCAGCCATACTCTATAACACCTATAACACTTCATTGCAGGTCAATCCATCTCCAATTTATGACTAGCAACCTAGAATAGATAAGGATGAATCAAGGTCACTAGGTGAAAAATTAATCTAAACACCAATCTTCCTTCTTTTTCTATCTTCTCTCACCCTGTTAGGATTCCTGTGCCATTAACCATTGTCACCTGGGGAGATACAGAGGAAACTTTGCCAAGTGCATGCCCCCAAACTCTCATCCTCCTCTAGTGAAAGGGGTTTCCTGATCCATCTCTAGCTTAAATTCCGTGTACCCCAATTGGAAATAAGTCCTGTCGACCAGTGGTTCCTATCCTTGGGTCCCCAGATGTTCCTGGACTACACCTCCCAGATATCCTGATTACCATAGTTAGTGACGAAGGCTTCTGCGGGTTTTATTCCAAGAACACCTGAGGACCCAAGATTGGGAACCATCGCTGCAGATGATATACAGTATGCACACTTTATACTCACAATAATGACCACATTAAACCTCATATGCAAAAACACCTATGGACACAAGTGCAGATCAGTTGTTGAACAGGTGGGACATTTGTGCAAGACAGTGGATTGTGTCTTGAGGTTCAAACTCTGAAGCCTTAGGATGAAGAAGCAGTCCCTGGCAGATCAGGGTTGGAGTCTAAAGGTACCCCATATGGACAGAGAAAAGCCCTTCACCAGTTAGGTGAAGACCCTTACTGAGGACACAGCTGAGCAAATGTCAACACTTTTTCAAGTCAAGCGGAAAGTACGTACACTGGCAGCAACTCTTCGGAGTTTCAGAAAGCAGTCTGATGAAGCCATATCTAGAGATGGCAGAAACTTAACACAGCTGGTTTCACACCATGTGTTTTGTCACTGAGCTGTGACCCATCCCCTCCTGGGCACTGTAGCCATGAGGACGCTAAGTGCCCTGACGTTGTCCGGCATAAATGAAAAGTGACAGCTCAACCACCTCTGGTTTGAAAGACTAAACACAGTGGAGAATGGATTAGGCCTCCTCTTCGTGCACCTTAAATGCCTACGTAAAGTTGTGGTGCCATCAGAAGAGAAGGGGAGGCTTATACAGCTCCTCAAGTATGGATCTCAAGTTGATCTCTTAACAACTGAATCGGAGGAGGGAGAGGTCAAGATTATAGATGCTCAAGAAAGGTGATACAATGAATGGTATCCCTGCCATAAGGAATTATTTTAGGAGCATTCATAATGTGTTTGGGGCAAGGAAGGAAGTTATGTTCTGAGTTCTAACTCTAAGTAGAGATCCAGAATCCCCTAGCAGGCATGGTGGCTGAGAGACTGGAAGACCTGCAGTCAACGAGCCACTTTCCCAAATGCTAGTTCCAGTGAAAAGGGTGTGAGTGTGGATTTGCTCCGTCTCCACCCTGTGCTAGCACTAAATCTATCACTGGTAAATTTGCTTGGCTCCCATCCAACTAATCAACTTCCACACAGAGCAACTTATTAGAGACAGATGGTTCACAAATGACTCTTCACCACAACCTGCCAGCAGCCCATCCACTACATCAGCCTCAAGCTCAAAAAGTCAACACTCACACACCAGTTATCTTAGGCAGGCGGTTCCCCCCCGCCTCCCAAGCATCCCCAGGACAGTGACCCACAGCAGTCTGTTGTCGATCTGTGTTTATTCCCTATTCACCCATTTCGGAGCTCTGTGTGCATAAAACTGGGCATTTAGGATAGATTATCTTACCATACCCTCTTGTGTTCACAAATAAAACTGCAACGTCTGTGTTTTCCTTTTGCTGTGCCACATAGGACACTATTGTAATGCGTTTGTTGCACTTCCTGAATCTAGGATTCATTACCTTGATTCACCTGTTCATTCCTGTGTCTCCAAGAAACTGTTCATATTCTGAATGAAAAATCTCCAGCATGCAAATATACTTGAAAATACACTTGTCATGCACAAACACACTTCCTAAAGATGTACAGTACTCTGATTTACTAGTTACATTCTTATGTGCAGATATACTCTCTCTGCTCCTGGTAGCCAACTGCCCCATTTTATTCCTGTGTTGGAGATGAATTGTACAGGAGTGACTAGATATGCAGTTTTTCAGGTTTCAATACATCTGTCTAAAATGTACACAGGTTAAAAAGGTAAAGGTTCCTCTTGACAATTTTTGTCCAATCGTGTCCGACTCTAGGGGGCGGTGCTCATCCCCGTTTCCAAACCACAGAGCCAGCGTTTTGTCCGAAGACAATCTTCTGTGGTCACATGGCCAGCGCGACTTAGACACGGAACGCTGTTACCTTCCCACCGAGGTGGTCCCTATTTATCTACTTGCATTTGCATGCTTTCAAACCGCTAGGTTGGCAGGAGCAGGGACAAAGTGACGGGAGCTCACTCCGTTGCGTGGATTCGATCTTACGACTGCTGGTCTTCTGACCTTGCAGCACAGAGGCTTCTGCGGTTTAGCCCGCAGCACCACCACGTCCCTCTCAAAGGACGCTAATACATCACATACTAGATTGCCACTGCATACATTGCTGAGGCTGTTTTCCATACCTAAAAAGCACTACAAACCAAGAAACAAACAAAATATGCTTTTTTAAAAATAAACAGCCTGTATATAATAGAACAGGCTGGACAGCTTATTGCTTTAGGTATCTGGCTGCAGAGCTGGATGTTGGGAGCTCAACTCCTCACTTTGCCTCCTCCAAGTAGGGCCAGCCTGTGTGGCCTTGGGCAAGCTGCACAGTCCCAGGGCGCCCCCAAAAGAAGGGGAATGGTAAACCACTCCTGAGGAATCTATACCTAGAAACCCTGGAAATGGTCAACATAGGGCAGAATTGACTTGATGGTCCATAATTATTACCATATGTAATACAAGTGTTTATTGAATATATATCTATCAATATAGCATCACCATGTTATTAAGAATATAAAAATGTAACCATAGTAATGGATTTCTGCTATAATTTCATTTTAATACAAATTTGTCTTCAAGGGTAGAGATAGCACAAAGGCCAAAGAGAAATCAAGTGCATCTGGTTTCATTATCCAGACTCAAAAATTAAATAAAAAATGTTGGTAGGCCAATATAGCTAAAATGTTATGCCAAAATGTAAGCTTGGAAAAAAGGAGAGGCAGATGTTAAATAAATTTTCTTAGGTCATTTATAATGCCATAAAAAGCCCTTCTAAATTCAGAGCAAAACTCTTCACAAACCAATCTGTCTCTAAACAGAATCTCACTATTAATTAGAATTAACAAAGGTCCTCCTAAAAGTGGCATTTAAAAAATCCTACAATTTGCTCTATTTATTATTTAGTATATTTACATCTATCCGAATTTATTATCCTAGAACTATCAAGGTGTAACTTTCTTAAAATAAAATCTTATTAAAATTAATGCTGTCATTTTTAATGGGGTAACAAGTTGCTTCCAATTTATTGGAAAACCCTTAACTATAGCAATCACTCAGACCGCATCCTTAACAAGTGCTTGCTTCCCTTCGAGTCAGAGGAGGACCTTGCTGGATCTTACTCCTATTGCCTTATATGCCCGTCACTCATTCTGACTGACAGGTAAGCCGGTAAGGAGGAAAGATTGGAAAACTGACATTTGGACTGTCAGGTTCATAGACCTACAAAAAGTAGATGCTCAAACAGGTATCAACTTCTGGACCAATTTGATGCTCTTTTGTTTCCGGGGGAGAGCCGTCAGTTTTAGGGGTGTCTTTGACGGGATATTTCCTCATCAAGCTGCAAAGGCAGGAATGCCTCCTTTTTTGACTGAGGTTCTGGATGATGGTGACAACTTCTAAAACCTTAAAAACTGTAGCACATATAGACAGGAGGCCTGGCGTGCTCTGGTCCATGGCGTCACAAAGAGTCGGACACGACTAAACGACTAAACAGCAATAACAACACATGTAACCAAGGAGTGCCTGACTACCTTATCCATCTCCTGAGAAACCTATATGTGGGACAGGAAGCAACTGTTAGAAGTGGATATGGAACAACTGATTGGTTCAAAATTGGGAAAGGAGTACGACAAGGCTGTATATTGTCCCCCAGCTTATTTAACTTATATGCAGAATGCATCATGCGAAAGGCCGGACTGGAGAAATCCCAAACCGGAATTAAGATTGCCAGAAGAAATATCAACAACCTCCGATATGCAGATGATACCATTCTGATGGCAGAAAGTGAGGAGGAATTAAAGACCCTCTTAATGAGGGTGAAAGAGGAGAGCGCCAAAAATGGTCTGAAACTCAGCATCAAAAAAACGAAGATCAAGGTCACTGGTCCCATCACCTCCCGGCAAATAGAAGGGGAAGATATGGAGGCAGTGACTTTCTTGGTGTCCATGATCACTGCAGATGGTGATAGCAGCCCCAAAATTAAAAGACGCCTGCTTCTTGGGAGGAAAGCAATGACAAACATAGATAACATTTTAAAAAGCAGAGACCTCGCCTTGCTGACAAAGGTCCACATAGTCAAAGCTATGGTTTTTCCAGTAGCGATGTATGGAAGTGAGAGCTGGTCCATAAAGAAAGCTGACTGCTGAAGAATTGATGCTTGTGGATTGTGGTGCTGGATGAGACTCTTGAGAGTCCCCTGGACTGCAAGGAGAACAAACCTATCCATTTTGAAAGAAATCAACCCTGAGTGCTCACTGGAAGGACAGATCCTGAAGCGGAGGCTCCAGTACTTTGGCCATCTCATGAGAAGAGAAGACTCCCTGGAAAAGACCCTCATGTTGGGAAAATGTGAAGGCAAGAGAAGAAGGGAACGACAGAGGGCGAGATGGATGGACAGTGTCACCAAAGCGACCAACATGAATTTAACTCAACTCCAGGAGGCAGTGGAAGACAAGATGGCCTGGCGTGCTCTGGTCCATGGGGTCACGAAGAGTCAGAACAACAACAAAAGGTGTACTTAAGGAGGCAATTTAACAATAGGTACAATCTTGGCGGAATCTTTGACTGCAAAAGCAAACTAGGCTGAGCCCTCAGTATGGCTTGGAGCAAGAAATGTGAACAGTGGACTACATTGCGGAACTGTTCTAAGCTTCTCTTTATTTTCCAGAATTTAGGAATAAAGGGCTTCATTGAAAAATGTTGTTAAATATTGGACAGCTCAGTGGTTTAGGTATGTGGCTGCAGATGATGGGAGTTTGATTTCCCAGTGCACCTTCTTGACAGCGGCTGGACCTGATGACCCATAGGATCCCTTCCACATCTGCAGTTCAATGATGATGATGATGATCCACTAGACTTCTCACGTGATATAAAATCCAGTTTAGAAGAAGGTTGCGCTCTTCTCTTCACTGCTACATTCTAGTTGTGAACTGGCACACTGCTCATCAAGAAATTGTGCTGTGCTGAAAGTTGTTTTGTATGGTTACAACTAGAAAAAGCACTGGCAGTTTCTTTTTCGGACAATTGAATTATCACTCTACTTTTCTAATATCTATGTTCAGATTATGTAGCGTGGGACGGCTCAACGTCTACCGCATCACTCGCTCTCGTATGAAGCATATGGGTTGGGCTATATTAGAAATGTTTCATTGAAGAATTCCTCCGTCAATCTTAAAAAGAAGATGCCTATTGGCTGAGAGGGATGTACATTCTAATTATGAGGACAGCCCTCTCGCTTCTACTGGCTGTTTTTCCTGTCTCTCAGGAGAAGGGCGGTGTCATTTCTCTTTCCTATTGGCTACGCCATCCGTAGCGGGGCGGAACATTCCGTTCAGTGTAGGGCCAGGCGACCGCGAGAGGAAGGCGAAGTGGTTGGAGCTCCTAAGAAAGGAGTCAAGGAATAAGTGGGGTGCTCTACTTTCTCCTGGGTGGGGACCTTCTGGTCACCATGGAGGACGGTATCTTTGGTAGGTACTCCGAGACTAAACCATTGGGAAGATTAAAAGAGGGGAACGCTAGGAACAAGCGGGCGGCTGCATTCCGAGACCCGCCCCGTTAACTACAATGGGGAAAAAAAGGTGGGTGGGTTGAGCTATTCTGCACGATAAGCCCAGGGGGCGGGGCCGGTCCCTTACAAAGAGAGGTGGGGCCGGAATGAACCACATGAATTAAAAGAGGGATGCGCGGACCGGCTGTTCCAGCCCGTACCAAGAAAGAAAATAGGGGTCGGAGGCAATAGAATGTCGGGCGTGACCCATATTCGCCTACTGCACTTTTATACTTGTTTCGTTGGGGTGTACCATATTAGTGGAGGGGGGGGGATTGGACTGTACCGTAGCTGTCAGGAATCGGGGTCCCTTTCAAGTCCTCCGTGATATAAACGAAAGGGGCTTGTGGGGCGGTTGAGTGAGCTGGGGTTTGGTGTAGGGCGGCAGGCTTTTTAAATATATATATACCGTTACAATTTAAATGAGAGGCTTGTGGGGGAGGAGCATGTGCGGGGGGTGTTTAAATGAGGGGCTTGTGGGGGAGGAGCATGTGCCAGGGGGGAGGGGTTGTGTGGGTCATGAAATCTCTCTCTCTCTCTCTCTCTCTCTCTCTCTCTCTCTCTCTCACACACACACACACACACACACACACACAGGTTGTTATATATTGATACCACAAATGGAAAAAAATTGTGCCTTCATCAAAATAAGGAATAATAATTTATTGTTTTATAAATTGTCTATTGTTGTTGCTCTCAGCATAGTTCTCCTGGATTACAAAAAAATAAGAATATAAAACAAATTTGACTGTTATTATTGCTAAAACTAACGGACTTTGGTTGGTGCTCATGACTGTTCCTCGCAGACTGCTCCTCAGAGTTCTTTAGAAGCAGCATTTCCCCAGCCTTTGATATCTAAGGAAAAATGGCTGGAGAGGCTATTTTTCTTTTTTTTTTCCTTCACTTCCCAGCATCCCCCATCCATCAAGGTTGTGGTAGCTGTGGAATTCCGGGAGTTGTAGTCAAAGGGAAGTTATGCTTCTAAGCCATGTTAAGGAACACCCTTCCTTCCCCTTCACTTAAGCTGAGGGTTTAAACAAGGAAGAAATACCCAGCCTAAGAAGACTATGCATATATTATGTACAAGTTACTGTTGTGAATGTGTCTCCCAGTTGGGAGGAAGCCATCCCAAAAAAGCAGCTCATGCATGACCTATTTATATTATACTGTAGCTCTGTTTTTCTTCAGGGAGCCCAAAATAGTATATACAGTTTCCTGCTTTTCTTCTATTTCATCCTCTGAACAGCTCTGCAAATTAGGATAGGTTGTGATGCAGTTGTTGTTTGGAAGTCGGCCTATGAGTTTTCATGGCACAGCTTTCAGCTTGGTTCTCACATGACATGTAAACCACTATATTCCTGCTCCTCTGAGAGCAGGTCATTCTGCCACATTTGTTGACTGGGAGGGATTGAACAATAGATTTCTGTCGAATGCAGAAAAGCTAATAAGAATTACATTAAAAAAGGCTTATTAGGAAAGCGATAAGTCTGGAGTTGTGAATTTAGGGAGTGGGCTACCCTCTCCACAAATACAGCTGTAGTCATGGACTTTGTTTATTCCTTGTGGCATCTCTTTGTAAATTACTGTGTTTCACTCATCAACGAATAATCAACCAAATACTTTGCTTATCTATCAGATTTAGAAGTGTCCAGTCTTAGAAGCTTTGTTGGAGGTCAGAAGTGTAGCCAGAAAAACACTAATTATTTTAAGGAATGCTCTTCAAATGATAACATTGGTTAGGCTGCTATATACCAGAGGCAGGGCCTTTTTACTGGTGGCCCCAACACTGTACAATTCCTTTACAATGGATTTACACCTAGCCCCTTCAGTTCTTAAGCTTAGACATGTTATGAAGACATTCATTTTCAATGCAGTGCATGCACAGAGCAACTATCTGAAGAATTTTCTGTGCTTCTATTTTAAGGATAGTATTTCTGTTCTACTTTGTGTCACACATTTTGCCAATTTCTTTTTGACATTATAGTCCTGAAAAGCTTGTAAAATACTTCAAAATAAATTAACGGAGGAATTCTAAACCTATTTTTAAATATTTAAAAAAATCATATACAAGAACATTAATAATACTTTAGAAACTAAGCTAATTCACCTTGCTAGCCATCTACAATTTTAGTTAGCACAAATATTTTTCAATTTTTAACTCGCTCTCTTTATGCTTCTGTTTCTTTGTCAGTTTTCTTCTTGTGTCTCACATTCTCTTCCTCCATTTCCTGTGCTGTTCTCTATCCCTGAGTCTTTGTCAGTTTTCTTCTTGTGTCTCACACTCTCTTCCTCCTGTTCTGTTCTCTATCCCTGGATGTCTTCCTTTCTCCTTCCTCTGAAAAGAAAATTTAGTGATGATACTAAGACAATTTACCGTATTTTTCGCACCATAAGACGCACTTTTTCCCCACAAAACGGGGTGGAAAGTCTGTGCGTCTTATGGAACGAAGAAAACAGATTATATTTTCCTGTTTTCTTCTCCTAAAAATTGGTGCGTTTTATGGAAAGGTGCGTCTTATGGAGCGAAAAATACGGTACTTTAGATGAGAATGCTCACGATCTAGTAGTAAAGTGCAAGATGGAAATACGAAGGTTGCGTACCCCTGTTTTGTTATTTAGGTAGATAGTGTCCATATCTTTAACTTAAGTAGGAGCCTTGCAGCATAGTGGTTAAACTCCAGTATTGCAGATAACACTCTGCTCTTGGCCTATGTTCGATCCCAACAGGTTCAGGTGGCAGGCTGAAGTTTGACTCAGCCTTCCATCCTTCCGAGGTTGGTAAACTGAGTACCCAACTTGCTGGAGGGGTCAATATATATAGCCTGCATAATTATATTATAAACTCCATAGAGAGTGCTTTAAGCTATGGGGCAGTGTATAAGCAGCACACACTTTACTGCAGAGGTTGTCAACCCCCGGTCGGCGGCCCAGTGCCGGTCCTTCCCCCCCACGTCCTCCCCTCCCCACAGCTGCTTTGCGTGCGTGCCAGCGCCAGCGTAGGCACTCCCCCACCCCTTCATGCATGTGCTTGAGTGCCTGAATGGCCACACGAAGGGGTGGGTGTGTGTGCAGGTGCCCCTGCACATGCATGAAGGAGTGGGGGAGCGCCCACGCTGGCACTGGCATGCGTGCATGTGCCTGAGAGTGTTTGCGCACCCGTGCACCTGCCAGGGGGGTGCAGCATGTGCTTGAGTGCCTGAATGGCCACACGAAGGGGTGGGTGTGTGTGCAGGTGCCCCTGCACATGCATGAAGGAGTGGGGGAACGCCCACACTGGCACTGGTATGCGTGCACCTGCCGGGGGGGTGTGTTCCTCAGAGGCTCAGCCAGTCTACGGTCCCAAAAAGGTTGGGGACTGCTGCTTTAATGTATACCTTGTTTCCCTAAAAATAGGACATACCCTGAAAATACGCCCTAGTATGATTTTTCAGGATGCTCGTAATATAAGCCCTACCCCAAAAATAAGCCCCAGTTAAGTGAAATCCTGCCCTCCACCATTGTGCCGCATTGTGCAGCAACCAGAAGAAGATGACATGACTGTAAAATAAAACATCCCCTGAAAATAAGCCCTAATGTGTTTTTTGGAGCAAAAATTAATATAAGACTCTCTTATTTTCAGGGAAACACGGTAGAAGAGGTGATTTTAGCAGCTGAGAAAAGCTGCAAGTGCTAAGCTTCTTTGCAGCCTTTAATGACAGAAGAGCTCATCCCCTCTTATTCCACCTGGTCGCCCAGTCACCAGTTGTTGCATTGTAGATATGCTTGTGTTTGTGGGCTTTTAGGGAAGAGAGGGCTATATCAATGATTGTAACTTCCTCTTCATTCAAAGCTCCTCTGTGGCTTCTCTAGCACCTCTACTAGAGGTGTGTGACCAAAATGGCAGGAAGATGAAACTTTACAATGTTCTCTGTTCCTCCTAACACAGTACCTCCAGACCTGACTCCGGAGGAGAGGCTGGAGCTGGAGAATATCCGGAGGCGGAAGCAGGAACTCCTGGTGGAAATCCAGCGGCTGCGAGATGAGCTCAGTGAAGCCATGAATGAGGTGGAGGGACTAGAAGCCAATGAAGGAAGGTGAGGGGTTTTCTCACATGCCTAGGTATGGCTCCATCTTGAATCCTGGCAAGAGTTTCCTTTCCCTCGGGAGCAACCACATCCAGATTGTGGCTACAAGAGAGGTTGCGGAGGGAAATTATTCCTTCCTCCTGTTCTTGCTACTGACATATCTAAACCACCACTTATATGAGAGTGTTTAAATACCTCTGAAACATCCAGCTGGTTGCTGTTGGATTCAGGTCAAGTCCAACATGGTTCTTTGGTCAGCAAAAGTCTGTTAGAATAAAGGAAAGTTGTTGAGAATGAACTTGAATTTGGCTGTAGTGTGAATTCATGGTATTTTGGCTGAAGAAGACTAAAAGCCACCATTTGCTTCTCAGAGACTAAGCCCTAAACCCAGCTGTCAGTCCCAACCAGAATAGACCCTCTGAATTAATGAGATTTCCATAAATGTTGGCTTACTGTGGAGAAATTGAGTCAGTAGGTCTAATTTGGCGCAGTTGGGGGGAGACTACCAATTAATTTAGACCCATGTATTTGCAGTGATATCCCCAACATTAGTAAACAAATTATTTTTTGTAAAATAGTATTAACTTTTCTAAATGTCTTTCTATATTTTGGACTGCTTCAAGTAATGCTACTCTGTGTCATGCTTAAATCTGGAACACCAGGATACCAGAAGGCATTAAAGCAAATATGAATCCAGTTAAGGAATCATGGAATATAGTGGGAGACAGTTCCATAGACACAGGGAGAAATTATTAATAATTTGGGGGGGGAGTGTATTGAGAGGTATTGAGAGGAGGAGCTGAATGAAGCAATTATCCTGAAGCTTTGGTAATTTTTGCAAGCTTTCCCAGTGTAGCTCAGCTTTACCATTGCTATGGTGTGCAAACATTGTATTCTATTTTATATTTTGTTTCGTGTGGATTTGATTGTTGTATGTCACCTTGAAATATTATTTATAAGTAATCATAAATAAAGCTATTTTTATCATTTCATCAATGTGTGTAATTTCAGAGAGCTTAATCTCTGATTATCTCTTGTTTAAAGCCAGCTTTAATAAAGAACGTGATCCAGTCATGGGACAGACTGTATACCCCTTTAGAATACAGTTGGGAAGTTGCATGATTAGATACCTGCCCAGATTTTAAAAAAATCATATGGAAAAACTACCTCAGAGAAATTATCTGGTGGTCTAGTTTTCTCCCTGAATTGGACATTGCTGTTTATTTTACATAGAGAAGTAGTTAAAACACATATCCGTTTTTTGAGGTGGTATAATTTTGGTTCTGCGACATACATATTTTCCCAAAGACAGAATCATGACAATTGTACTCCCCTTTGTGAAAAGTAAAAGCTCTCACAGGTGTATTTCCTTGTCTTGGGACAGTAAAACTCTTCAAAGAAACCGGAAGATGGGGATGGGCCGCAAGAAATTCAACATGGATCCCAAAAAAGTAAGTGTGTTTGGGGGCTGCATGCTTTGAGTTCTTAAGACTTTTGAAAAGGTAATCCAAACTTTTGTGATGGGATCGGAGCTACTGTGAATGGCAGACCCTCGTGTTTGGGTCAAGATTTCACTCAAAGCAGATTTGATTTAAATCAAATTAATCATGATTTAAATTTAAAAAATGGGGGGGTGGGCAATTTAAAAGAATTTGATGGGAATGAAACTGGAACTTCTTCAAGTATTTTATTTTTGGTCTGCAGCTCCAAAATTCCCAAGTGAATGTGACCGGTATCCAAGCTGGGGGATTTGGGGAATTGTAGTCCAGAAATGAAACATTTCAAGCTCTCCTGAGAACATATTTGGACTATGATTTCTGGGTCCGTGGTTCTCAGCTTTGCTGTTACCTTTTTTTCAGGGAATCCAATTCCTGGTGGAAAATGAGCTGCTACGCTCTACTCCCGAGGACATTGCCCGCTTCCTCTACAAAGGGGAAGGACTCAACAAGACAGCCATTGGCGACTACTTGGGCGAGCGGTGAGAAGGGGTTGGGGCCGTGTCAGAGCTCATGGAATAGCCAAACATTTGCAGCTGCTGAAACCAGATGGAGCAGGCCAAAATGTTGGAGCTTTGGTGTCCCAGAGATACTGGAAAAATTGATACAAGGCTTAGCTTTATAGACAATTGTATAGCCAAAGTCAGAAACTATTTGGGACCTTTATGGATATGGTTGACGGAATTAAAGGAAAAGGCAGTGGGAGAAAGATGGAATATGTCTCTTTGATAGATAAGAATGGGAGTTTTTGTTGTAAAGGGGGAGCAAGCTTAATTTTAATTTTCTCCGCACTTTATTCAGGGAGGATTTTAACATTGCTGTACTCCATGCCTTTGTCGACTTGCATGAATTTACTGACCTCAACCTTGTGCAGGCGCTCAGGTGAGTCTGGATATCCTCCCCTTCCACTAGAGTAGAGCCCTTGTCAGTTTCGACAGATTTCTCAGCCTTTCCTCTGCATCCACTTGCCTCCCCTTCCTGTCCTGAATGAGGATGTGACATTAACAAGCAGGCCTTTCTTTTCACCCAGAACTGGATCTGTCTCTGCTCTGCTTCAGCATTTTTAAAGCAGACAAAGATATACAGCCTATTTTTTCCTGGTGCATGGAATTTGGGCCGCTGGACTTATGCGGACAGAGAGAGAACCAACTAAAAGTCATTCATATGTGATTGATACATCCAGTAAGCCAAGTATAAGAGAAGAGTTGTAGATTCAGCTCTCGCTCTCTCCCTTGTTTTGAACACAGATAAAGGCTTTTAATCTCATCACAGATCTTGATTAGCTCATCTGTGGAAGTTTGACTGTATTGTTTTATGACAATACAGTACTGTTTGGACTTTTTTTCTACTTATATTTCCAGTACTTACCTTCTGTTCCTTCTGATTTCAAACCTGCATCAACTGTAGTAAAGTATCTGTAGACAAAACACTTCATTTCCCCCAGATGTCCTCCTCAAATAAGGTGTTCTTCTTGCTACTGGAACACTAGTAGTGGTGCTGTCTCATGTTGATGCGTCCACACCTGTCACGTAAATGTGATTGTGCCAGAATGTATTTCAGTATAGCATGGGTGAGAGACCTTTAGCCCTGAAACAATTTTGAATTACAAATCCCACAACCCCTCACTATTGGCCATGCTGGCTATGGCTTCTGGGAGCTGAAATGAGAGCATCCAGAGGGACAAAGGTTTCCCATTGTTCTTGTCTGGCAAAGCTTAGCTGCAAGGAAAAGGCCAGGGAAATTCACCATCTGAAGCTTCTGTCAATTTTTTTTTGTCATAATCTGTGTTTAAACAATGAGGCCAATAGAATTCAAAGAGGCTGGTAATTCATTGCATCCCTCTGTATCCTATAGATAGGATTGGTCATGTTTCAGTATGATTAACTTGTATAAGTGAAACTAAGTAGAGAATTAAGAGTAGATGAGGCATTTGCAATGTGGAAATTCAAGCATTTTCTTCTTTCTGCCTGTCGTCTCCCTTACCCCTGTCCCAACATGTTCCCTTTCTAGGCAGTTCCTGTGGAGTTTCCGATTGCCAGGGGAAGCTCAGAAGATTGACCGTATGATGGAGGCCTTTGCCCAGCGGTATTGTCTGTGCAATCCAGGTGTCTTTCAGTCCACAGGTATTGCATTCTCTGGGGAAGGGAAGGGGGGTGCTCTTTGATAGAGAACATGGAAATCAAGGACTTCCTCTGTTTTCTGTGTTAGAAAAGAGGATTGACATTAATTCAAATTTGCTGTGATAACTAAACAAGAGCCTGTGTTGTTAATTTTCTTACCAAGAAACTGAATTCATCCTTACATGGTTTATTTTTCATTGCTAGAACTCACTTGTGTCTTAAAAATTCATGGAACAAATTTTTTATGAGGCTTGGGATCTCTTGACAGTTAAAGTCTAGCTAAAATCCATGGTACTTGATCGTAATTATTTGCATTTTTTTAACTTAGCAGTGTGTTGGGGGCCGTATGCAAATTAAAAACAATAGACAGACAGATAATGAACTTCTGCTAAGGATACGAAAAGCTCTTTGTATGATCAGCCCACATTCTATTTCATTCAACACTCTTTGCAAGAAACTCAGGAGGAGCCAGGAGCTAAGTCAGGGCGATAAACCTTTAGTCTTCTAGGTATAGTTAGACTGCCGTTCCCATCAACTCTGAAATGATATGGAATCATGGTTTATAATCAGCAGAGCTTTAAAGTAACTTGCTACATATGTAAAGCTCTTGCCTGTAGCCTGTTAAGATTTTGAGAACATGAAATCTTGAAGCATGGAAGGTTTTTAATGTTATGATGAACATTAACTTTTCCCCCCAGGCAGTTTTGACCATTGTTTGTTTTTTCAAAGAATTATTTAAATTTAATTTTTAAAAAAGAGTTAGTTAAATAAATTACTTTTAAAAATAATTTAGTAAGGTGTTCTTAACAAGTAATAACTCTTTATTCTTTCTGAAGCAAACAATGAGAGTGGACGAGTAGTCCAGATAGGCGGGGTATAAATCAAATAAATAAATGAATAAATTGTAACATGCCCTTTTAAAACAGCAGCAAAGCACTCTTGAAAAGCAATGTTTTGGTCTCTGCAAGCCAACCTGTCAAAAGCTGCACAACAATTACCTTTCACTTATACTTTTGAAATATGTGATAGAATGAAAGATTTTTGCACGAGAGCAGGGGTCCTCCAACGCTCACAATTCCTTGCTGGCTCAACCAGCTCCCGCAAGACACCCGTGCTCCTTGAGGCTTCAAGGTGTTGCCAGAGGTTTAGAGTTGAAATCTGAAAGTTATAGAAGGCCAGAGTTCCTCTGCTGGATTCTTTTCTTGCAATAATGACTACATCATGCATTGAGAACCTATGTAGACAAATCTATTAACCTAGAGATACTGTGCAAAAATAACAGGACAAGGGTACTAGAAGGAATGGTAAGTTGTTTTTCTTCTCATGCCCCATTCCCCAGATACGTGTTATGTCCTCTCGTTTGCCGTCATCATGCTGAACACGAGCCTCCACAACCCCAATGTCCGTGACAAGCCTACTGTTGAGAGGTTCATCACCATGAACCGTGGCATCAACGATGGAGGAGACCTGCCCGAGGAACTGCTGCGGGTGAGAGAGGAAACCCTGCAGATAGCCCCTCGGGAAGGATCTTTTGAGTGGTTTCAATGGCAGGAGAAAGGGAATCCTTTTATGTTTGTTTTCATTGTTTCAAAAATCCTCTGCCCACTTGTGAGAAGCTTTAATGCAGAGGTAGACAGAGTGCCGTTTGTGGGCTGCATGCACCCCTTCAGCACCCCTGGCCCCCAGTCTCCCAAAAGTCACAATTATTTTTGTCACAGTTTTCAGAGTGCCTTCTTATGCATTTTTGTGGGTGTGGGGCAGCCACTTTGGCATAACACCTCCCCCCGTAAAAATTTTTTGTCTGATCAAAAGCATCTTTCTTTTTTTTAAATTGGCCATCACAGCGTGATAGATGGCTTTCTCAGTTTTAAAAAAAAGGTCTTATGTTTGGGTTTTTAAAAAAAGGTCTTATGTTTGGGATGAGGAGTTCTTGATTTTTATTTTAGCTAAAGAAATAAATAGATAATTTCATTCTTTAATAAATACATTCATTATTATGCTAGGTGTTACTCGTTTAGTTATATCATTATTGATACATTATTTGGAAAGCTAATCGTTAAGCGAGGCACCACTGTACATTATTTGGAAAGTTAACGAACCACTTTGGCCGTGCCCCTTCCTCCTTTGGCCACACACTCTCGGGAGCTTGGCCCCCAATTTTGCTGGTCTGTCTGAAAAATGGACTTCAGCCCCAGTGAAGTTACCTGCTCCTGATTTAACAACTTTTCACGTCATATGTGCCTTGCAACTGTGATTCCTTAATTTCATTTTTCCCCATTAGTTGTGAGTATTGTCTCTCTCTTTGCAATCCTCTCCACTTTGTACTTTAATGAAACATGGTCTTGGCGCTGCGCCAGGCAAATAAAAGTACACACGCATAATTGCACCCTTCTTTTCTCCTTGTTTTGGGACAAGGTGTGACCTGCCTGTAATGCCTCCCCTTCCTCCCCTTCCCCAGAACCTGTATGACAGCATCCGTAATGAGCCCTTCAAGATCCCTGAAGATGATGGGAATGACCTGACACACACTTTTTTTAATCCTGACCGTGAGGGCTGGCTCCTCAAGCTGGGTGAGAAGCACCCCCTACTTCCCCTCAAACACTGTGGCCTTATTCCCTTCCCTTCCCTGCTACCCTTTCCCTTACCCTCCCTCACCACCACTCCCACTTCCCTGAGATCTTTGCACGTCTCTGCGCTCTCCTCTCTTACACCCCACCTGTTGTGTCATTTAAAGCATGACCTCTCTCTTCATCAGATCAAAGGGATCCTCCTGAAGTCCATCCCAATATCCCTCCCCCTTCTGTCCCCTGCGGCAAATACATACGACCCGTTGGGATCCACCGTTCACCAGGTTGCAAGGATCTAGGGGAAACCAAGATCCTTCCTCGTCCCCTTTCCCTTTTCCATAGCTCCTCATTGAGGTGGATCTTCTCTGATAGATGATGAGAGGGGTCTGCTGGGATTGTTTGGAGTCCCTCTTAAAACAGGGACCTGCTGGAGAAATTATGCAAGTCCCTGGAATGTCACCTGCTCACCACAGAGAGCCCTGTTAAAAGGCCTGCTCTGGTCTCTGATGTTCTACCAGTTGTTGCTGGTACATTTCCAAACCTATGTTTGCTTTTAAAAACATTTAGGTTGTTAAAGCCTAAATCCAATTTCATATTCAGTGCCTGATATTCATGCAGCCTGTAGCCACACATGTTCAAAATGAAGCTAGAGATGCCGTTGGTATTACTACACATCTAATGTCTGTCAGAAAACAACAAAAGACTTGACAAAGACAAGCAAATTGCACAATGCGTTCTTGCCTTTAGGTGGTTTTCCTAGCTTGAGAGGAAGAACCCCTCCCTGGGTAAGGTGTGTGCAAGTCTGTGATGTCATTTCCAGACCTGAAGTAAAGAGAAGTGCCAAGTCTATTCAAGCTTCAACCTCTAGGCAGTTCGGTTCATAGGCTGAGGGAAAGGGTAGCTGTTCATCCAAGTGGGCCAGAGGCAGATGCTCTCAACAGGCAGAGCCCACTCAAGTTTCAAAGCAATTGGTGGTGATCAAACCCAATATAAGGACACAGTCAAGACCAGGCAGGCATCAGGAAGCTTTGGCAGCATCCTCATGCCAGAAGCAATTGGCCCGGGTTGAAAAGCTAGCTCCAAACCAAAGGATTTATTAGGCCTGGTGGACATGGATGGGTCCTTGGAGAGGGGGTCAGCCAATTGACATGAGCAGGCAGGTGGGTGCTGCCCTCTGCAAGGGTCCTCTGAAGCAAAGCACTCAACCATCCTGACTTACAGTGGAAACAGCGTACTGATGGGTGAGCGCAGGGGTGTAAAGTGTTCAAAAGTCCAATTCCAGGTGCCTCACGAGACTGATAGGAAGATGGCAGGGTCGTGTCTGGCCTACTTTCCTGAGGTTAAACATTCTATCTTGGCCACCTTTGGCTCACTATTTGAGAACGGCAGCTTTTAGACCTGCCTGAAATAGAGGATAGAAGCAGAAGCTAGGGAACATCTACCCTTCCTGAAACACCTCTGAAGAGAAAGCCAACCTACATTGCATCTCATCCTTGACCCCTCTCCCTCACACAAGGAGCATTGTGGGCCACTTGGCATCATAGAATTTCCCCCCATACTCCAAGGTCCATGGGGTTCCATTGCAATATAGTAAATTGGTTACAGACGAATGGAGAAGTTAACATCCCAGGCCTCCTACATGGCTTTGACTTTGCTTGGAGAAAGGAGAGAAGAGCCACAATATACGAGTGGGGAAAGCTGCTGACTCCATTGCCTCTTGCACAGGCCTGTCAAAGAAGCAGGCCTTCAATTAAGGAGTTTGGGAAGAGTGGGCTTGGAATTGCAGTCCCCGGCCTGGCTAAACTGCCAGGATCCATAACCCATATCCAGTGCCAGTGTTTCAAAAATGGTTGCAACAATTGGTGAAATGTTAGGGATAGATTTTCAAGTGACATGCCAAGGTTTAAAGACCATGTCACGTAGCCAAATGATACCTGCCCTGTTATAGCAAATTTAGTCAAATTTGAAACCTTCCTTCCTCTGCCCATCACCCACAACCCCCCATCCCAGTGCCCCCTAATGCCTGTGTCTTGTGTCGGAGGATTTTTGATTTGACCATGTACTTCTACCTTATGTTGATGTAACTTGTTCTCCTTTCTCTCTCTTCCTCTCTCTCTTTCTCCCTCTCTCTCTTTCTCACCCCCATTCTCTCTATCCTGACTCCCCGATCCCCACCTCTCTCTGCCCCCTCTTTCCCCACCACTGCTACCCTGCCCCCCTCTCTCCTCCACCGTCCCACGGCGCGGACTACATTTGTTCCACTGTCTGAATACTGCCCCCCAAACCAGGAGGTAGGTGCGAGGAGGGGGCAATTTGCTTGCAGCTGAGAACTGGTGTTTCTGGTGCTCTCTGGAGCGGAATGAGGGCTGGTTACAGGGGAGGAAGCAGCGGAAGCCTGGAGGCCTAGAAGCGTTCTGTGGTGGATCATCTCTTAACCAGGTTCACTTGGTGAGAAACAGGTGTGGATACCAAGTGAAGAACTGTCATTCCTTTGTTCCTTGGAAGGAGTATACATTGGAATGCCAGCCCCTTTGCAAACCAGCCCATCTTGGATATCTGTGGACTGTAACTCCCATCAGTCTGGCAGCATTTAGAGTTTTAGTCTCAACAGACCTGGAAGGCACTAAGTTACTCTGAAGCTGCTGTCTTCCTGCACTGAGCTTTAACTAATGAGCAGGACCCAGAAGTGGATTGCACCCTGAACCAATAGGCAGGTTGCAGCAACAGCAGCATTGACACTACCTATGTTGTCTCATTTTCCTGTCTTTTGAAAAAAAACAGACAATTGGAGAGTAGGATGATTTTCTTTTGTACTATTCATGCATGAGATGGCTCCCATGTTCAGATGAAGGGTGCTGCTGCTGAAGCTTTGGGCCACAGTTCCCAAAGCCTGGAGCCATCCTGAGATTCAGAGAGTTGTAGTCTGCAGAAACAATTTTTTAAAAGCTCTGACTCTTTCCCCGTAGCTGGGAAGGAGCCGTAGAAGATGGCTCTTGTGAAATCCTGTTTCATAGAAGCATCTGATTAGTGGTTGTAGGGAGCAGTGGGATGCTGGACTAAATGGGCTTTGGAGCTGATTTTGTCAGGCTCCCTAAGAGATCCCTAAGGGGAGATTTCAGCAGCCCACAGCTTGGTGTATTCCCACGTGAGAAGCCACAGTGGTTGGAATATCCTCGTAGCTACTGAAGGAGACGGATGATTTAAAGAAAATGGGAAAAGGTTTCCTGCTGCAATCCATAGTGGTCTCTGGGTTTGGAAGGTTAAAAACAACTTCCTAAAACGATAGACAGGGTTGCAGAAGGGGGGGGGTTAATTGTTACTAAGACCCCTGAGAGTATATAGAAGGCATTTCAAGCCAGATCCAGTCACATATATGGATTAACCTTGCCTGAAGCCCAGAATAGCTGTAAGCTTTGCAGTAGCAGCTGAGACCAAGTCAGCTTTGTCGAAGGAGCTTGACTCAAGCCTTTAGCATCTGCCAGCTTTGCATGCTGAAGTTCACAACAGACCTCACAAGGCCTTTTTATTTTTCATATGTAGTTTTGTCTTCATTCTAGAGAACCTACTGCATCAGCAAATTCCACCCGGCTCCATTACAGCTTGAAAACATGATATGTTGATACCTAGAAAACATGAGAAGCCACAAACTCTCCCAGCCCAAACATTATCTAAAGCCAGAAAAGTGACTGTTTGTTTCAAAGATGCAGTAAGAAACCTAGGTGCAAATTAGCAGCATGCTGGCTTTGTACAGTGGTGCCTATAACTGGGAGCTGTTAGCTGTGAGTAGCTAAGGGGTGGTCTAGATCTACTGAACATTTGACAGTAGGCTACTTTAGAACATACTGAACGAGACTGAGGCCTACCAGGGTCAGCTGATCTGGGGTAAAGGCCAAGGAAAGTGGAGGAAACAGTGCCCTTCCTGAACAGTAAGCATTTCCCCGTAATCACTTGATTTGGGGATTGTAATTTTCTTGGTTTCCTCCTGTACAAGTCAAGTGAGAGGTACTCTTCACTGATGTGCACAGGGATAAAAAGATGCCTGCAGCCATCGGGTGGGTTGCAGCAAGAAATTTTCACTTAGGAAAAGAGACATTTCATAACAGAACTTTCTCCTAGAAGCTTCTATTCATGGTTGTGTTTAATTATTTTAATGATTCTGGGTATACTCTGGGTTTCCCTTTCCTCATTCACATCCTTTGTTCTATTTGCCTTTCCTTTTTTCCTTATAGTTTTATGGAACCCTTCTATTGCATTGGCTTTGTCGATAAGCATGGCTTCCTACTCTAAGAAAATGGAGGGTGGGAAAAGACATCAGTCTAAAGCAGATACCTTAAAAACAAGCACAAATTCCCTCCACTTTTGCTTTCAGGGGGACGGGTGAAGACGTGGAAGAGACGCTGGTTCATCCTGACTGACAACTGCCTCTATTACTTTGAATACACTACAGTTAGTACTCTTTCTCACTCCATCCTCCTTTCATCCCAAACCTCCTTGATCAGCAGCACAGAATCCAAGTGGGCCCAGTTTAAGGCTATTCTGCTGTCTGGAAGAAGCTGAGGAGGGGAGGGGCTTGCAAACAAAATGGGCCGTTGTGCTGCATCTAAGTATATAGTCAATATTTGCAGATTTTTCTTGTTGATTAAAAACAACTCAACACATTGAGACACCATAAAGAAAACTGTGAGATTTTTTATTTTTTTTATTATTTTTTGTTCATATGTGGGAATGAAAATGTCAGCACCCAAAAAGCCCACCATGATTTTGTGGAAATACCTTGGATGTTACTCCAAATAGAAAACTGTGTAAAATACAAGGTGTTGTATGCTAAATAAGAAGCTCTCTGTACAAAAAAAAATGCTTTCATTAATTTGTTGCTGGGATGATTTTTTCAAAAAGGACAAAACCTCCCCCAGTTTTGCACATCAGGAAGAGAACATTTGAAATTTGCTGTTCTCATCTAATACACCAAAATAAGCAAAGACTTACATCCCTAGTTCTGCCACTGCAGCAGAAACTGACCAAGGAAACTTAGCAGGATGAGGTATCATGGGGTGGTACAGATGAATTCCCCACTCAGTCAACAAGTTTTCCCTGAGCATCATAAAGTTTAGTCCAGTCTCTACCATCCAGGCCAGCCATTCATATGCAGACAGATTTGTGTGTCCCCTCCTCCTAATCTGCCCAAATGCTGAGGCCAGGTGTTAAAACACAGGAGGGTCAACCTGGCCTCCTTATGTTCATCCGGGTAGAAAAGGGCCAGCTCCTCTAATTCAGAAAGGGGTTTATCCCAAATCCCAGAAGAGGCCACCTAGCAACACTCCAAATCTTGGAGTGATTTCTTGGGCTGATTTGTCTCCCTGTTCCCTTCCACCCCCTGCTCACATGGCAGAGTTGCTCTCCTCTTTTGCTCATATTTCTTTAATCCACTGATAGGACAAGGAACCAAGAGGAATCATCCCTTTGGAGAACCTGAGTATACGGGAAGTGGAGGACCCACGGAAACCGGTACGTCATGCTTCCTTCCATGAATCCCCTCATTTTTGCTGAATCAGGTGGGTTAAGAGGACACTTGGAAACCTCAGGCTTTTTAAAAGTCTTCTCCCTCTTCCTCTCTCTCTCTCTCTTTGAAGAATGAACTGCTTTGAGCTCTACATACCCAACAACAAAGGCCAGCTCATCAAAGCCTGCAAGACGGAGGCCGATGGGCGTGTGGTTGAGGGGAACCACATGGTGTACCGCATCTCAGCACCTACGCAAGAGGAGAAGGACGAGTGGATCAAGTCCATCAAGTGAGCATAAATCACCCTTCCAGTTGGCTTTACCACAGACCAGGATGTGCGAATGGCTCCCTCCCTGAGTAGTGAAAAGGGAAAGTTGTTGCTGCTGCTGTGAAGTAGAACAGACCACCACCACGGGGGCATCTTAAATAGAGCAAATAAGATCGAAGTAACAAACAATGTGTTGTGTTGCTTTTGGCATCCACAATAAAGATTGCAATAACAACATGTGTCAGCATCCAGCAAGTAGTGTAACATGTTGCTTTTGCAAGCTAACTTTCTAAGCTCTGTTCCCGATTGCTAGCTGTTGTGACTGACAGACAATTTGGGGAGCTGAGGTCCAGCAACATCTAGAAACTCGAGAGAGAGGCTAGCCCAAGGTGAGATGGGTCAACAGCCACTTGAACTGGGATCCCTCAAGTCCCATTCTGATATCCCGTTCAGGGATAGGTCACCTGTGATCTGAAGGCTGCATCCTAATCTGAGGCAGCTGTAGTTGCACCCCATACCCCTACCCCCCCAAAAAACATTTTTCTTTTGAAATGGTTTTTGTTTGTTTAACTGGAAATCTCCTCCCCTGCACACACTCCCTAGTGACCAGTTTTTTCAGTTCCACACCTAAAGAAGAGTATTGCGGGGCAGAGATGCTGGAGGCCGACTGAACATGACAAAATCACCTTCCATACTTCCTAGGGTCACACATCCACAAACCTTAAAGATATGGGAGTTCTGTCGACCACATTTGGGATCCGCAGTTTACATTTTGCCCACCTAACTATTACACTACACTCGATCTTAGTTCTTAGGTTCTTCAGCATTCCAGTTTTAATGTTATGTCCCTCTTCTTTCTGTTTTTTTTTTCTTTCTCCTGTCTCTAACTTTCTCAGAATTATCGGCAGTGCAGATGGATTGATTTAATGGATTCTTTCTTTGTAGGAAACCATGGAATGTGTTAAAGGGACTGAAGCTGTCTTAGCTCAATCCTTAGCCTCTCCAGTAAAATCTACTATTCCTTGGATTTCGGGGTGTAGGCATGGGAGAGAGCAACCAGTTAAAACTAGCAAAACTGATACCAACTTGTAGGATAGCTCAGAACCCTTTTTAGGATTTTAATTTATTTTTAATTTCATTTTCCTGTGTTCATAGCATTTGGGGCAGGAATCAGGCGAAAGAGACTTCCGTAACAAAATAATTTTTAAAAATCCAAAATTAAAAAAAAAACAGCAAAAAAAAACCTCAGAACTCCAGGCAAGATAACAATAATACTTAAGGTGAAGTGGCAGGGAAGGAGTTGATTATTGAATTGGACAAAAATTTAAGGCTGTTTTCTTAAGAAGCATTACTTATTGTTCATAGAAGTCACATGTCTTTAAGTGTTAAAAAGTTACATAGCCAATGCCTGGTGCAACATTTGTGGTCAGAGTGGGATCAGCCTTCACAGCTTAGGTGTTATAAATGTATCATTTTGGAAATGGTGACACAGAAAGAGTCACTCTTTTTAACCACAGGGTTCGAATCCCTGCTTGTTCATGGAAACTCACTATGGGAATGGAACTGGAAAAACCACTCCTCAAATATCTCACTTACCTTGAAAGCCTTATTAGGGTTGCTATAAGTCAGTTCTGACTTGATGGTTCCGAACACTTGCAGTTTGGCAGGTAGCGGTTGGTGGCTTAGCTCAGCACCTCCCTTTTTCTTCCAGGGCTGCTGTGAGTGTGGATCCTTTCTACGAGATGCTGGCCGCCCGTAAGAAACGGATCTCAGTGAAGCAAAAACAGGAGCAGGCATGAGGTGGGGATTCTCCTGTACCTAGTCTCCCGTCTTTTTCTCCTGGCAATGTTCTCTTCCTGTGTCTCCTTTCGGACTTGCTGACAAACCCACCTGGGTCAAGCTCCATGAAACCAACTCCCTTTCCCTCTTTGGATCGTCGGGACTTCACCCAGCTTGGCCAACCCAAGGACACCCCTGCCAGCACCCCTTGGTGCCCTCTTATGTATCTTCAGAGCTTCCATTGGACCTGTTGGGATTCAACCATGGACAGGAACCTTAGGAAGGTTTGCCTTGTGGAAATTGCAAAGTTTGGCATCATCATTCCTGTTGGAGGCGTCTTTCCCATTTTTTCCCTTCCTGAGCCTCTCCTTTAGACCCTCAACAGAGGCGGACAGAAGTTGTTATCTTCCCGTCTCAACCCACCATGACTGCCAAAGGTGTAAAATTGGGCAAGGTTAGAAGAGTGCTTTCTGTTTGGTTGGACCCTTTGACTCTGCCATCCGTGCTTCCCAACTTAAGCTGATTTACATATTCAGAAAAAGAATTTGGAAGTGCCCTCTCAGGACTGTGCTGCTTGAGGACATGCAGGGAATAAGTGTTTCTAATATGTGCTATATAAAAATAGCACTCTGTGTTCTTAAGCCAAGCCCATGTGAACCTGGGCTGGCTTGTCTTTGTGACATGCTAGCTGTCCGTGTTTGGAGAGTTCTTGAATGAATGATTCATTCAGATCTTTTGGGTTCCCCACAGCTACATGCTGATGATGATACAGTCATAAGAGTGGTGTACCGGATCCCTTTCTTCCTGAAGGCATAGGGCTGGAATGCACAGCCTCGTTAGCCAAAGGTATCAACTGGGGAAATGCCTGCATGTAGCAGAGACATACAGGACATTCGCTTCAGTGTCCAGCTCTGGGAAGATTAAAATGTAGGAATTGCTGGAATTAGGTCCATGGATGTGAAAACCTCTTCCAACCCCATTCCTCATTGACCATCATGAGGACCACGTTGATCTCGGGAACCAGAGAATGCTTGCTATCCCCCACCACTCTCAATTTTGAGAAAAACTGAGTGGTATCCTTTCATCTTTAGGGGCTGCACAGCAAGCAGCCATTGGCCACAGGGTGGAACTTGTTCCTTAATAATCTGTTGTCAAACCACTTACACTGTGCACTGAACCAGGACTCCAGCTCTAACCCCTTAACATGAGCAAGGGCTGTCCTCCATTACTTGGCATTTGCTGTACAGAGGAGTGGACATACCAGCAACCTGCAGACGGCAGCAGAGAACCAGACAACTAGCGCCCACCCACTGACACAGTTTTAGAGGCTATTCAGTTCCTCCAGCAGGAATAGCCAGCCAGCATGTTAAGGACAGCTGACAGCTCTTGATTCTTCTCAGCCAGAGAGAGGGTCACCAACCCATCAATCCCTCTTTAATGCTATTGCTGAGAAACTGAGCTACTCCTCTCCCCCCCATCCCTGCAGATTCATCAGACGGATGCCTCAGAAACAAATCCTGTTTGTTCTTTCCTCTTTCTGAAGTCCTTCTCTTCTACTCGAGGACTGTGGTCAAGAGATCTGGGGCTACACTCTGGAGTTAATCCAGGATGTTTCCATTGCTTTACAAAGGAATCAGCTTATACTGGCATTATACTGTGGCTAGGATCTGATCCTGATCCTGCACTTCTTGGGGATTGGTGTTGACCGAGTTTTGCTTGGACAGAACTGGAATTAGAAGTAATCCCCCCTCCATGTTGTATTTTCTTTGAAGGTTCTGATTTGGCATGAAACCAAAAGTCTTAACATTAATACAGATGAGTTTCCCCTGAGTCCTCTTTCACTTCTTGTGACTAGACAAACACCACCTCTTGGATAGTTAAAGGTTAGATTTACTCACACATACACACACAACTTTTCTACTTCCTCTTGAACTGAAATTAGGGATTAAAATTTGTATTGGTGGTTATGTATTCAGAAAGGAGATGAAGTTTCAAAATAACCAAGAATAAGTGTGACCTTGCAGGTGCTCTCTTAACTACTAGCTAGGCAGCTCCAAATAGCTTGGGTGAATGACTCTGCTTCTCTCAATTCTAGCTCAAAAACCAGTCTTCCACTGGTTTTTGAGCTAGAATTGAGGCAATCCCTTGAATACAGCATCTTAGAGTCTTCAGGCTTACCCAGTCTTAAACCTGAACTTGTGAAATTCATGCAAAGTATTTTGCAACAATGCTCAGATCTTGCAAATGAATTGAGCATTTAGCCTGCAAAGATCTGTAGCTACCGTAGAAATATGGCACTGCCTAAGTCCATGTGCATTTCAATCTTGATTGTTCTTTCCCTGTCATGGGAAGAATGCCTCTTTGGTTAGCCAGTTCAGATCTAACTTGGTTTAAACATAAAACAGAGGAAGATCTGGTTTAATGCCATAGCTCATCCTGAATTTAGACTCTCAGGTTTTAGCTTTCCATGATGAGAGCATTGTGAAGTAATGAAAAGCAGTAAAGAAAGAAATGGCTTGATACTGGTCAATTTTGAATCTCTGTGTATATTTGTATATGGGTAGGGTGGGGGAGAGAATGATATTGCTGTTACATTTGAGTGTGAGAAATACAAAATGGACCAAGCTAAATCAGAATAAGATTTCATCAATCTAGACCAGCTTTAATTCTTAAAAAAAAAAGTTACATGAATTACGTTAATAATTCAGCTAGACAGGTTTGCCCCTTCTTAATTTAACCTATTTTACTGTGCCAAAAGACCACGGGAGTGACTTCCGTGTGCCAAAATCCATTTGGAGCACATCTGTCTTTCTACTGAGGCATCTAGCCTTCTGAACAGGAATGAGGTTTTACCCTGCGACAGTGTACACATGATGTTACACTAAGAGTTTGTATTTCCCAGCAGTTTTCATCAGCAGTCCACTAAATGCTGTTCTCTTGCATGGAATCCAAAGTTCCAGGCAGCACCTGTGCTGCATTAATAGAATGACATTCTGTAACAACCTTCATCGCCCTGCCTTTAATACCTACCAGTCCTTGTTGCTTTCTTTCAAATACTAGTCTAATCCCCTTTTGGATCTTAGGTAAACATCTTCTCAAATTCAAGATGAAACTTTTTTTTACACATTTTCCTAAATGCAAATCGCTGTTGAAGGGGAGAGGGAGCTGAGGCAAGTGGGAAAAGCTGTTTTCAATCCTGGTGGAAATGATACATGTACCTCTCAAACTGCTCTTTAACATTGGGGAGGAAAGCTTTTCTTCTGAACTACTTCAGGGCAAGAAGATGAAAAAATTTAAACTTCCCTTTCACTTCGCTTGCCCCCTGAATTACCAGACCCACCCCTGGAGTTGCTATTTGTATTTTTAAACTAGGTCTGTTCTATGTTGAAATATTTATTTCTTAGTTTTGGACCTGATTTGGATTTTCCACTGATATAATTCTTGGCAACTTTTCTTCTACGCATGTTTTTGTTCAGTCTCCCCCCCCCCCGAACCCAGATCTCTTTCTTTAAAAAAAATTTATATCTTAGCAGGACGTTCTTAGACCAGTAACTCTGGAAAACATGGTTTAAAATATCCAGAACTGACACAATTGAATGATTCAAGCTATTGTTATTTGCAGCCTTTCCGGATTAGTTCTGTGTTCTTCAGCAATATCAATAATAATCACCTTCCCCTGTTCCCCTTTGTGAATTTGTATACCTGTATTTTGTGGGATGGGAAGTGGGGAATTATAATATTCCCCCGCCCGCTCCAGAAGTGGAAAAAGAAGGAAAGACATTTTTCTTGTCTTTAAATTCATTTCTGATTATGACAATGATGATGTACTTTTTTTAAAAAAAAACCAAGTAATGTTAATTGTTATTTAAAAATTTAATGTATGCATCTCTGAATATGTAAACACTACAGACTTGTCTATTTGGTGTCAGAATCTTTATTTTATTATTACTTAACATTATGGAACCTCAGATAACTAGGATGAAAAAGTTGCCTGTGCATATGAATGGGGACTTAAATCCATTTCAGATTGGTTGCCCCAGCTCTGGGAACAATGAGCAGAACTAAAGGCTGACACCTCATAAATGAAAAGTCAGCTTCGTAATTAGAAGATAATAAAATATTATCTTTTGAGAGATAAATTTCTTCAAACTTCTGGGTCTGTGCAATCAAGTTCCATGAGTTTCATGATGACCAGTTACCAGTTAAAAGCAACTGATTTGCATTTTGTGGAACTACAAAAACCTCATGTAGAAAATGCAAAGGTTTTTTACATTTGAGGAAGCTCTGCTTCTAATTGTGAAGGTGGTGTCTGATTTGGCCCTCAGATAATACTGTATATTGCCCCATAGAGATCAAAATGGAGTAAGACAATCTGGTTTCATAGACATCCTGTTTTCTCTGGATGTGTTTTTCTTTTCCCCCAAGCAACAAATTCCTACACATTCCAGGAAACCGCTTCTGCTATATAGCATGGCACCCGTGAGCTTTTATGAGATGAGTAAATTAAGCGGGCTTTCATTAGCTCTAACTGTGGGTGCTCAGTGCAAATTTTAAGAAAATGTGAAAGAGATCCATTGCTGTTTGTAAGGGGAGCTGCCTTTCGGAGTTATGGCAGGAAGATCCTCTGCCTTGGTTTGTCCCTTCATGGTGCAGAAATAAGACACAAAAAATGGGATGAGGATATCTTGACTAATTTCCCAAGTTCATCCAAATTGAGAGCCTTTTCATCTGCCAATCGTTTTCCTCACCCCCTTATTAATTCCAGACAGGTACATCAGGGGCTGCATACCAGCAGTATTTACGTATTTATTCACTTAGCTTGCCAAAACAATTCAGTAGCAGATCTCTCCCTTCCCTTATCTGACATTGCGAGGAGATTACTTGTACCTCTTGGAAAATGCAGCTTTTTCCAAAGCTCCTTAGATGTCAGCAGCCCTTGGAGAAGCAGCATTTCCTGGTTTACAAGGTCTGTACACCAGGAATTAGTAAGGAGAGGAGAGACGTATTTATTCACTTAGCTTGCCAAAACAATTCAGTAGCAGATCTCTCCCTTCCCTTATCTGACATTGCGAGGAGATTACTTGTACCTCTTGGAAAATGCAGCTTTTTCCAAAGCTCCTTAGATGTCAGCAGCCCTTGGAGAAGCAGCATTTCCTGGTTTACAAGGTCTGTACACCAGGAATTAGTAAGGAGAGGAGAGAGAGATCCCTTTCTGCTTGTTACTCTGAGAAGCTCCAGTCCTGTATATGGGATTGAAGAAAAGAGGAAGTTTGGTTTGGTGATAGACAAATTCTTTCCTAGCTCAGATTTAATTTTCTCCTGCTCAGGATCAAAGCCAAACCAGCAAAGGGCTGGGTGGCACAATGTTCCCCCCACCCCACCCATGGTAAGTAACTGAGTATTACTAATTTTGGTGACATCACTGCTGTGAAGTTAGCCCTGCCCTGAGGCACAGACATTCTTTTTGCTTAGGGATAGCAGAAGATAATGTCTTAAGGGGAGACATGAGACCTAGCGGATAAATGTTGAGCAAGAATCAAAGGCAGTTCCTGAAACAAGCCTGCAATGGAGAAGTGGAAGCAAGAAATAGTCTCTCCCACTTCCAATAAGCTAGCCTCAATCTCTCTCCTGGCTATGGGGTTATTCATGCATGCTTCTTGCCTTATTCTATTAATACATTGCTACTCTGATGACCTTGCATGTCTGTCCCACTGCCAAGGGGCCAGATCTGAGCTGAGCCACCATTAAGGAGATCAGGAGCAAGCAAGTGACCTGCCTGGGCATGAGCCAAAACAAAGCTGAAACCACTTTGCTTCAAGAAGTATTCTCGGTTTTCCCCTTGTGGATTCTGGCATCAAAGATTCACCGGATATCATCCAATTATTACTCGCATCATGAATTGCTCATATCCTGTTTTTGCCCTGTGCCTGTGGCAGCCTGCATATAGGTCTGGGGAAATCTCCCATTTGCATAGCTCAGTGGGCCAAAGTCTGCTTTGCAACATTGCGTTGCCATGTAATCCACCATACATTTTGTGCCTCCCTTCAGTTAGTTGGTAATTTTTAGCCTTTGAGAATTGGCATGGAATTGGGGCGGTGACCTTATTAGAGACATTTTTAATTGATTAATCATACAGGGATGGGCACATTTTTCTTGGCACAAGGGCCAAATTAATTCCAGGCAGATATATCAGAGACTCTGTGCCAGCAGCATTTAGATCCAGCCTACACTATTGACATGAAGCCCCGTCCGTAAGCTTTCCTCCTCATTCATTTTGCACCCATACAATGGCACACCTTCATTTTGCTGCTATGGGTGTACCTTCCACAGAGCCCACCCTCCACATTCTGGCAAAAACACAAAAGACAAAAATGTGGCATCTTAAAGATGGCTGTATTTTAATGTGAGCTTTCCATGGACAAGTCCATTTCCTTGGGATGTCTGAGAAAGTGGACTTGTCTACAAAAGTTCACTTTAAAACATAGCAGTTAGTCTTTAAGGTTGCCACAATGTTTTTGTCGTTTTTTATATTTTTATTTTGTTTTTGGCTGACAGGCTAACACAGACTAACACAGTGACCCCTTCTAAACCTGCACATTCCATGATCGAAGAAAATCAGTCCTTTAACCCAACTCCTTAGGATTCTCACTCAGTTTGAAACCTTCCCCATCAGCCCCTCAAGGAGCCACTCCTTGCATTGGCTTCATCTTCTTTAATTTCCACAACTGATGTTTATATAGCAGCTCCCCAATGCACCAGCAAGGAGTGTGGTTTCCAAATCAAGGTATTCCCAAACGGATTCCTTGCAGGCCAGACTGAGGAGTCTTGTGTACTGAAGGATCAGTTGGCATAGGATTGTCCCTTCAAACTGTATGAGCATTTCTTCTGCAGAAACCTGCTTAGGTTTGACCTGTAGAAATGTACTCAATTTAAAGATGTTGAGGTAAAACTTTACACATGGAGAGTTCTGTGTCAGCCGGCATCAAATGCTGCCAGCTAGAGAGTGTTATTTCGTATGAAACATTACATTTGAAATGTTGCTACTGAATTTTGGCTTCGTTCGGCGCGAGCGCCACTCCTGCCACTGAATTGCTTGTGACTGTGACAGTCCTTCTTTTCTGATTGGTAAATAAGGTAGGCCGAAGGTTCCCTTGTTTTAATGCAGAATCTGCCTCCAGAGAGCATGACTCTTCCTTAAATGAAGGTGCACGCCCCTCTGCCTCATCACAGCTGGTTTACATGTTTAAAAGCAGCCATTTTTTGCCACCCCCACAGCAGGCCCTCTAGCACGATCATGAGCTAATGTCTCTGAAGCGTGCTGAGCCTGAGGACAACTAGCTAGGATCACTGCGTTATGAAAGGAACAATTAAGATTCTTGCATGAAACAAACCAAAAGCACACAGGAAAGGGTTGCAATTTCTTTGGCAAGTTTATTACATCCATTTGGAGTAAGAAAATTAAAGACAATTAGCATTACATCCCGCCCGCCCATCCTGTTCTGCAAATAAAATAAACACTGCTGAACGCCAGAAAAATCCAGTATTTACAAAGAGAAAGAGATTTTAAAAATAAATCTATATGCATATACAGTATATATATATACTGTATATATATATATACACGCAACAGAAGACATTTGGTGTTCTTTTCTGCTTCACATTACAAACAAACCAGACCTAGAAATACTGCTCAGAGGCAATTTCTGGACTGAGTTGTCTCATATTTGCCCCTCCTTTAGATGTTTGTGTGCCTTACATTTATGTCAAAATGGGGTTGGCCATCCTTGCTTTAATTAAGGACAATTATGATCATTCTGCTGAACGGAGTCATGGATCTTTGCCCCGTCCTGCCCTGATGGTGCCACTGGTGCTAGATCTGCAGCAAAGAAAAATCAAAAGAGCTATACTGTGTGGGTGTGGGAGTGTGGAACTCCTCTCTTTTATTCTCCTGTTTGTGTACACACAACCACAGCTTGTGAATGTGAGCTCTTTCCTCATTTTGCTCTGAATCCAATCTGTTTTGGCCCCCATCTTACATGCACTCGACAACGGCACACCTAGTTTTCCAGAGTATTCTAGCTTTGAGGCACAACTGCTCCTAATGTTCTGGTCCATTTCCAGACAGTCAAGTGTTTTGGCTTCTATACTGTTCCCCATAGCTTCCCTTTTCTATGTATGACAGTGAAAGAAAATATAAACAATCAAAATCCAACCTACTAGATCTACTATGAGTACCAACAGAGATTGATAAAACCATTTTCTCAATGTCTTTTCCCCAACTCATACGGACTTTCCAGTCAATCCAGATTGAATTTGCACAGACAACATTGATTTGTGTAACCTTCAGCTTGTGGCCATCTTTTTATCTAATTAACGTGTTATGGATTTGAGCCTTAATGTGAACTCCGCCTGGAAAGAGCTTCATCTGAATGGAGCAGCAATACTAGGAGAAAGGTAGGTGCCTAAGCCCTTTTCCACAACACACAATATAGGTCCCTAGTTTTTGTCTGCTGCAAACCTAGCAACATAATTTGCGGCTTCTAAACTCAGCCAGCTGTACTAACAACTAAATCTTAATTTTTGGTGATATGCAACATGGCTTCGTGGTGTTTCCAGAATCTGACCACATTCCATTGATCCACATTTCAGTTTCCTTCTACAGTCACATGAGTTAGCTTCAGGTTTTAGCTCAATCTATATATTCAATTATACCGCTGATCCTCCGATATGGTTTAGCTCAATGTCTTCCCCACCCCCAGGACTAGTCTACAGTGTGCAAATTCAGCACCAGCTTGAACCTGAAACCAATGGTACTGAAAAAAAGAGCAGAAAAATGATTGTGTGAATCCACCTAGACAGCAATGCAACAAATATAGAGGCACATGTTTTATAAATGTTTTTTTATAATATATACATATATTTGCATGATGAAGTGTCCAAAATAACCCCATAGATCTTCCCTAAATCCTGTACATGGGTCTAGATCCTGAAAGTTTATTCCTGCAGTGAGGAAAGGAGATATTAAAATCAACAGGAAGATCAGGACCTTGTTCTTAATAGGTCCTAAAAGGGCTGAGCCAGAATTTCAAATCCCCTGTGAGGACATGTAGGGTATGAAGGAATGGTTAGGAGGAAAGGTGGAGGCGGACCCTATTGGAGAAAGCAAAAAAGCTGAGGTATGAGTTCATCAATAGCTATCTAAGTTTGGGAGAAAACAGGAACTAAAGAAGGAGAGTCTGAAGTCTCCAAACATTTCAAGTTACAGTAATGCATTCCATTTATTTCCTCAAAGGAACAGAAGAAAACCCACAAGGGGGGTGGAAAGCTCAGCTCCCATCCAGTTCCTACCAAGCTTACTTAACAAAGACCACAGAATGACACTACTAGTCAAAACCAAGGCTTCTGCTTTTCTAGACAGATGCACATTGCAGTTTGCCAAAAGTTGGACAGTCCCATGCTGCCATATACATTCCAATGAGCCACTACTACCCAATCACAGTCTTAAGAAAGACTTTAAGAAATGACCTCAAGAAATGTACAATCTTTCAGTTTCATCTCATCTATCCTTGTGTACTTTTCATGAGGAGGGACCCCATTGCATTTATCTCATACAGAAAGGAAATGTTCTTAATTCTAAAACATAATATTACCATATAACACGTGGGAATGGTCCTTATTTCAGAAACCCCTCCACTCCATAAAGCTCTTCCATTGAACAGAACTTCTACCTCCTTCCCCTGAGGTAAAATTTTGGTCTTGCATTCCTGCTCAAAATCCAGAAATTCTGGCTCCCAGAATCTAAACGCTTCTTACATAAAACTTGCCACATATATCCCATTTTCCATCAAAGGAAACCAAGGGTATCTTCCTTTTCCAGAGGAAGCCAAGAATCACCCTCTTTTTAAAATTATTATTATTTTTAGGTATCTTCTCTCCAGGAAATTGTGGATCCTTGTTCCCAGCCCTACCCCCACCCCCATCTTCCACCATTAGATTTTGTTCTTTTCTCGGAGAACCCAGAAGTTGTGGCTTCTCAGTGGCAGGCATTAAATGGTAGCTTGACCACTCCTCCATGAAGCTCCATGGAGGCTTCAGCCCAATTGATGAGGTCACCACCAATGTCGCTAGCGCAGGTTGCCATCTTGTAAATCTCTCCTGGTGTCAAGATACGGCCCCACATGTTAAAATCTGAGATTTCCCCGATGAAGGCTTGAGTGGCATCAAAGCGGCCACCAAGAGTGTCCTATGGTGAGAGGAGAGCAGAAGAAAGTGAATCTTGAGGAACTATTCATGAGCAAACAGAACTTAATATGAGAGACGTATTTACTGTACCTGTTCTTGGCCCAGAACGAAAACACCCCCAGGTTTCACTGGATGCCAGGGAGCTAGATTCTCTCCACTCCCTCTGCGGACCCCATCCTGGTAAGACTCCCAAATGCCATCCCGGGTTGACCATGTCACACAGATGTGGTGCCACTTAGCATCATTAATGGTCAGTGGCAACGTGGCAGCCTGAGAAACAAAGAATAAAAAAAAAGGTGGAGAAAAGGGTTAAGCAAGAGAGAAATGAATGCGCCAAGACGTTCTGTTACAAATGTCTCACAATCTGGATGGCACAAGGAACATCAAATGCTGCTTTACCTTTGATCTGGGAGAAACAAATTCAAATCTTTATTAACCTATGAAACCTTGGAAACTATTGGCTCCTCGCGTCAGAGAGGCAGATCGCAAAAGTTCAAAGCTCCAACCCTTTATGAAGAGATAGCAATACAATATATTTGGGATGAAGCCCAAAATATTTTGCCTTTCCAACTGGCAAAAGAATAAAAGCTGAAAGCAATGCCTCAGCACTCCCTTTTAATTTTTTTTCCGAGAAGCCCATGGCTTTTTCTAGCAATGAATGTGACAGACTGTTAGACTACACGGTTTGCAACGTAATTATGCAAACAACACTTTGCTGCCGCCACCACCACCCCAGCGAGTTGGGTGCTCATTTTACCAACCTCAAAAAGATGGAAGGCTTGAGCTGGCTACACGAATCCGCTGGGCTTGAACTCAGGTCATGAGCAGAGATTTGACTGCAGTAGTGCAGTTTCACCACTGCACCACAGGGCTCATAAGGTACATGAATGAATGAATGAATGAATGAATGAATGAATGAATGAATGAATGAATGAATGAACAAGAAGACATGATACAATGTGAAGATATGAATGCTTGCGCAATTATCAGAATGCATTCCAAAACCGAATCTGGTAACTGGTGAAGAGTGTTGGTCATTAAAATATTCTGATGCATAATTATAGATATTTGTGTCCCTTCTTGACCATCCTGCAAAAGAACCGATCTTGTATTCTTGAAGGCTTTCGCGGCCGGGATCTGATGGCTGTTGTGGGTTTTTCGGGCTCTTTGGCCGTGTTCTGAAGGTTGTTCTTCCTGACATTTCACTGGCCTCTGTGGCCAGCATCTTCAGAGGACAAGAGTCAGAACTCTGTCTATGCTCTGTTGCTGTTTGTTAGATAGTTGAGTATTTCTAGCTGTGGGAACAGCTTTTGTCCTATTCTGGAGATAGGGTGATGATGGTGATCAGCCACAAGGACCAGGGATCATTGCACAAAAAAAGACCAGCTAAAGACACCCATCAGTCACAGTGACAGATAATCTCTCCCCCTTATCACAACAATACAGCCACAACAAAAACACGCCGATCACCATCATCACCCTGTCTCCCTATCCAACAAACAGCAACAGAGCATGGACTGAGTTCCTACTCCAGTCCTCTGAAGATGCCGGCCACAGAGACTGGGAAAACGTCAGGAAGAACAACCTTCAGAACACGGCCAAAGAACCTGAAAAACCCACAACAACCAACCTATCTTGACCTTCAGAACACAGCCAAAGAGCCCGAAAAACCCACAACAACCAACCTATCTCATGTTGTTTCACAGATAAGTGATGGACCTTGAAATTACAGTGACCAAGGCAAGCGTCTGTGATGTCACTCAGATCAGCTAGCTATAAGGACTAGAAGTGTGATTTCTGATTGTTACCCAAAAAGCAGCTACAAGATCTGCCCACACCCACTCAAATCAGCAAGATGCTGGATTAACTGTAATGCCACGATCCGCACCCTTTTTCTGTACCTTGTCATTGATGAGCAGCTCCATGGGGTTGTTTCCCCACTCAATGAGTACCACTTCATTGGCCTGGCCTGGCACCGAATATGAGAAGGGGGTGCCCATTCCTGGTGCTGAACTTGATTTGAGCCAGAGGCAGACGGTGAAGGCAAAAATCTCATGATGTAGAGTGGGCTTAGCCTTGACATACATGTAGTTGGTCCGGAGGGGAAATCCCACACGGAAGTCCTCAGAATGCTTCTCCACCTTGTGCCCTGGAGGACAAAGGGGATCAGAGATGTGGGAATGAGCTGCCAACACAGAGAAATGGAGGGGGTTTGTCCATCTGCAAGCTGCCAGCTAACCCCCCCTAACTTCCAAGCATGCATCCTCAGACTAGTATCCCCCTACGTCATCCATTCAAATATTCCTATACCAACTGTACTGAATGCTATGTATATTTAATGGCAGTAATACATTTTCTTTCCCTGTTTATCTTGCCTCCACTTTATTTTGTTTGATGTTTCCTCTGTGCTGAATTTTATACTTCAGGGCAGCGACCTGTTTTCTTATTCTTTGTAAAATAGTGCATGCATTCTGATGGCACCACATAAACCATAGTAACATCCATCCATCACATTGCATCTATTCCACTATCTCCATGCGTTCTGCCATTTTGCCAACCATCCCCATTCTTTGTGTGATTTCTTCACTCACCTTTTTCCCAGGCCAACCACACATAACTGATGTTAACTAATAAGCCACCAATGGAAACAGTGCCGCTATCTCCATGTTGTTTGACTGCTGCATCCATTGACTCTCACCATCTGCTGTGCCAGTTAAGGCTCATGGGAGTTGTGGTCAACAACATCTGGAGACCCTACATTTCCCACCTCTACAATACCCAATCTACCCATTGCGCCATCCACTCTTCCTCTTTCATTCTCTTGTCTCATGGACACATCTCTCTTTCTCTCCCTCCTTCCTCCATATTCCAGGGACCTATTACTCCCCTCATTCATTTTTCCACCCACTCTTTTTTTCTGGATGGATCAGAATCCAGTGCACTAATTGCATGCACTCATTCACCCTTTGAAAGGCAAATTAATTCATTATATAAATAATTTATTTAATCATTTATTTAGAACCAGCAGGGCTCAGTAGTTAGATTATCAGGCTAGAACTGGGAAAATGCAAATTCAAATCCACACGCAGCCATAAAGTTTACTGGGTGAACCTTGAGCTGTTTACTGTATATCTCAGCTTAATCTACCCATAGGTTTGTTTGTAAGAATAAGAAGAGACCCACACACTCCCCTTTAAAAATGCAATCAATAACTTGAAATTTCAATTTACTGATCAGTCTCTTCACACAAAAAGGTCTATCTACATATTTCTCTATCCAAAAGCCTATGTAACGGTGCAAGAACTTATGCATTTGCATTCTCATCTATTCATCTATCTTTTAATCCATCTACTTAAAATCTGCACCCTTGACTCTCCAATCAGAAGCTCACATTATCTTCCTTCCTTCCTTCTTTATCCACTGAACCAACATCCTCATCTCACCCCAACCCTTAGAGCTGAGGATACAGTCACTCACCTTTCTCAACACTGTGCCCGTGAGAAACATGTTTATGCCTCAGCCCTGCTGCTATGGGCGCACCATGAGTGTGATGTTGTGTAGTATTTAATTTCTCATGGATCTGATGCTCCAAGATGCTAATCTTCTTCTGAATTGCATCACGCAGGGATGTGGAGAAGACTGAGCTGTTCCGGTTGTGCTGAAGAAGACAAATGGTGTCACATTAACTATTGCTTAAAGCTTCTACACTTTTCTCCCCCACTATTTCATGTATCAAAATTTTCATCTCAGAACACTTCTGTACATCAGCATCTCTCTCCCTCCCCATTGCTCCTGAAAGCCCCATTTTTTGGGAAGAATTCTGCACAATCCTTTAGTTATTATCCCTGCTGAAACTAAGCCTAGGAGATATCACTGAACTAAATGCATCAGCCTCCTGGTGTTCTTGCTCCCATCTTTCTGCACTCCCTTGTGTTGAACTTTAGATTTAGGGTAGGGACCTGGTTTCTTGTTTGCTGTGCTCTAAAGTGAACTCCACGCTGATGGTACAGAATATAATTCTCCTTCCTTTTTCTCTTCTATTTGCCTTTCCCTGGAAATCTAGGGATGACTGAATATGTTTTCCAGATGTTTTGAAATGCTGCAAACAAAATGGTGGCCCATACATACCCATCCCATATACTGGAGGCTGACAGACTTGAGCTGACTCTTACTTCAGAAATTGATGCCTTTCTTGCAGTTGAGAAAGGTAGGGTAGCTTAGAAAGTAGCTGAGCATCCCACGTAACAGCTGTTTGTCAATATTTTATCGCCACTACCCACTCATCCCCAAATCTGCCACGTGAGGCCTTGAAGCCTCACTCTGCCCATTACTAGGTCTGGCTTTGAAGCTTATTTCATCTGGCCTTAGGATATCAAACCAAATAAAAGCCCAGAGCCAGTTCTGCCATGCACCAAGATAAAGCAACCTGCACCAGGAAGCATCAATGTGATAGGCAAGAATTGTTGTCTGATTGATTAAAATAAGACTTTTTAAACTGTTGGTCCAGTTGGAGCTGGGAGAAGTTGGGGACTCTCTTTAAGATAAGAAAACCTCTGCAGCAAGCATCATAAATTCCCTTCCTTCCTTCCTTCCTTGATTGTGAAATCTTACGCCCAATGATTTCCATATTGTACAACCCATTCCTCCAATTTGTTGCCACTCTAGATATATAATTCTCTAGCAGCTAGAGTCTAGCTTATGTGTTAAGAAGGGGGAAAGCAAGGGGAAAGGGCTGTGGATTTATTTTTAGTCACAACGCTTAAGTTAACGCCTCAGATGCTCTTGTAATCTCCACTCCCACTGTCTGTCCCATCTCCAATTGCAGGTTTCTCAAAGCCATCACGTACAAAGAAAAATCTCAGGACAGGTCTGTTCAATTTGAGAATCAATAGAATCAAAATTGAATCCAGATGTCCTAGCTCCTGTGTGCTTCAGCTCTACTCCATTAAACTCTCCAAGAAGTTACAGGGGCCTTGTTTTCTTCTTCTCCCTTCACTCAGGTAAAACCCAGGTAGTCTGGATATGTAAGGAATGACCTTTTCAGTGCTGATGCCTAGACCAGCAGGTCTCATAACACTTTTTTTCTAAAGATCGTTGAGCATCTCAATGGAGCACTGAAAGGACTTTTTTTAAAAAAAATTCTAACAAATCAAGCAAAGTACTATCACACACTTTTTAACACCTGGGCCTTCAGTGATGACATTATCATTGAAACCAGAAGCATTTCATAAATCTTATAGCATGAGGTCAGGTTTCTGTGAAGGCCCCAGTAACTAATATATTCTCAGAGGAGAAATTAGCACAGTGAATCACCATAGTATCATGAAAGTCATGATGACCCATACAGCAAGGTCTTGAAAACCTATTCCATAATCTGTCTCTGATCCAAAAGGACTAAATCTCAGTTGTCAGGTGGAGGGGAAACTACATGTCAAGGAAGACAAGTATAGATATTTTTAGGTGCTCTACACCTTTCATTGATCTTCTTGGATGAAGCATGCAAACTTCCTTCCCAAGGTAAAGAATTTTCTGCCTCAGGAAGCCTCTCTGCCACTTAAAAAACAATATTGTACCAACTAGGACCTGGAAAAGTTCTCTGACATGACAACCAGCGTGGACTTGGAAGTTCAAGGAGTTATAATCCCAAACAGTAACTTCCCAACCTATGGTTCCAACATACTTTTCTTGGTAAGGATTTATTGTACAGAGTGCAAATCTCTTTTTGATTTGTTGGCAACTATTTTATTGGTTTTGTTGTTGCCTCTGCTGTTTTAACAATTAGAGTATGATGATAAAAAACAACAACAGGGCTTGTGGCAATTGAAAGATTAATGAGTATTCATCGACAGGTTTATGCCAATAAAATTGGTTAATTTTTAAGATGTCACCAGTGTGGGTGTCTACAAGAGGGTAAAAGGGGGCACTAAGCATTCTCTGAACTCCTCAATGTATTATTATTTTAATGTCCACAAACAGATGCACTGTGGTGGTGTGGTATGTTCTGTGAACATGAGTTATGCTGTCATATTACTATGCAGCTGGAAAAATAGTCATAGATGCTTCTGTTCTCGCTTCAACAGTCTAATGTAAGTAACCTCTCTGGTTATATGACATTTGTTACCCAGCTCAAGGGTTTTGTCTTAGGACAGAAACAGCTTGAAAGTAACATTTGCCTTTTGCAAAGAAGCAATGTAACTAGTAATTACAAAGTTACTTTTTAGGTTATAACAAGTCATGCCTACATTACTTAAAAATTACCTTAACTGTCATCCCTTAAAATAATCTTAGTCATTCAACTGAGTTTTAATTGCATAATCAATTAATGAACTGCTTTCACCAGTGCACATTTGCACGACTGCAACAGTAGTTTTGAAGTAGTTCCTCCATTTTTGTCAGGAGAGCCATTGTAGAGGAGGCATCTACAATTTACATCTTCTGTAAAAGAAGCATCCATCCAATTTGAGCTTAAGGAGGATGCCACAGTGATCCAACTGCTATAGCTTAGGATCCTTTCTACTGGGACATGCCAAGAGAAAAGTCTTCGCTGAACTGGTGCAATATATTTAAGTCTACCTGGATAGCTCAGTGGTTCAGGTATCCAGCTGCAGATCCAGAGGTTGGAAGTTTGATTCCCCACTGTGCCTCTTAGAGGAAGAGCCAGCCTGTGTGGCCATGGGCAAGTGGCACAGCCCCAGGATATTTCCAGAAGAAGGGAATGGTAAACCAGTTCTGAGTATCCTCTATCTAGAAAACCATGGAAAGGGTTACCCTAAGTCAGCACTGACTTGATGGCACATTATTATTATTAGTAGTACTAAACCATTGGATCCCACATCCCTCTGGAGTGCCTAGGAATCCTCAGTTTCCCCAATTACAAGGTGGTCTGTGGTCCCATAGGAAAAAAAGAAGCTTCTTTTCACATGTAACATCTGCCTTGGTTCACATCTAATTCAACAGTAACTGGGTTCTTATTACCATACAATAATTTGCTTTCTGCTTTGACACACTAGATTGTCTAGAACAGTCTGCAAGATAAGGCTGTTTCTTGTAGTTTTGTTGAGGGAAGGTGGAGTCTGGGACGTTTTTGTGCTAGTGAGTTTTGAATGAGGATTTGAAACCTGGTTTTCGTGGTTCTTGTGCAACATTCCCACCAGCACTGCACTCTCAAGTTGTGCTACTGAACGCATGAAGACAATAAAAATATCTTCTTCCAAATGAACTGCTTCACACTGGGATAACCTTGGTTGTCCATATTACCTCATGAATGCAGCGGGGAGAATTCTACCATACATCAGTTGCAGATATATGGAGAAATTAATGGTGAAATGCCTATCTAATCTGGGCTTTCCATGTTAAGTTTTAGATTATTGTACTCTTAAGGATTATTTTTATGTTTTAATATTTGCTGCCCCATTTTATCTATTTTTCTCTCAGAAAAAAGCATCCTTATTCTTAATTTTACTATTAATACATTATAATATTACATCATTCATATATTATGACACTTCTTCAGAGCAAATTAAGGTGGAAGACAAAATGTTTTGCTTAAATACTTTTGTGAGTTAGTCTCTCTTATAAAAGTATCTATGTTTTAGTGATTGGTTGCATCCCCCAAATGGATCCAGAAAAAAACCTGGTATAGGTGCTATTTAGTTCTTAGTATCTATCAGTATACTATGATAGATATTATCATTAAGTTGTGATCTAATCCTTCTCTAAAGGGAATGTAGGATTCTCACCTTCCAAACTATCATCCAGCTGGTTTAACCTTCTGCTTCTGTGAGGCAAAAATATTCTAATTCAATTTCCTAGAAGGCTTCCAACTTAGTTTTGGAACATTTCTATAGCACTTGCAAACCTTCTTTGGAAAACCAGCCATATATGCCAGATGAAGAGAGGAAGGGAGAGACAGAAAGAAGAAAGTAAATGAGAAATAATTTGTGAGACACTCAGAGGGCCTGTCCAGATAGCTATACAGATGGCTATTTGGGTTGCTTTTAGTGCGGTTTGGCTCAAACCAAATTACAGTATCAACATACATTCTGACTTAGTGCTCCGTTCTGACCCTTTTCAGAGTTGTACCGTTCCTTTCTGGCACAGTGCTATAACTTTTTTTTTGGCACAATTATCCTGTTGTATAGCCTATGCAGATGGTTAGTTCACACCCAGATGGAGATTTGGATGACATTATCTGAGTTGATAACCCTGTAATGTATTAGGTAGGTGGTGGCATTAAAAGGGAGCTTTAAGAAGCAATTAAAAACTTGGATGTTTCGGCAGGCCTTTCTATCACATAACTCATGACCTCTTTCTTTCCTTCTTTACTGTTCTATGTTTTGTGTTTTGGCATCGTAATGTAGTGTTTTTATGATTTAGAACTGTTTATTTACATTGTTTACTGTATTATTTTTAAGGTTGTTAGCCGCCTAGAGTGGTCCTCGCTTGACCAGATAGGCGGGATATAAAATAAATAAATAAATAAATAAATACATTCTGACTTAGTCCTCCGTTCTGACCCTTTTCAGAGTTGTACCGTTCCTTTCTGGCACAGTGCTATAACTTTTTTTTTGGCACAATTATCCTGTTGTATAGCCTATGCAGATGGTTAGTTCACACCCAGATGGAGATTTGGATGACATTATCTGAGTTGATAACCCTGTAATGTATTAGGTAGGTGGTGGCATTAAAAGGGAGCATGGAGAAACCCCCTCCTCTGTTTTCATCTGCTTTGTAAAAAAATCCCTATCTGATGAAACAGCAATTCTAATACATTAGAAGTATCCTTTGGTACAATATGTATACTATGCTAGGTTGATGCATTGCTGTTTCACTATACCACTCACTTTATTAAAAAATAAAGTTATTGCAGCCACAATAACAGACAAAGAAGGCAGCTACATATATCAACTCAATGGGTTTTGCCCCCACAAGGCAGCACAGCCCCACCAGAGCTCTGACTGAGGGGAAAGGGGGGGTTACCTCTTTTCTGTCTCCCTAATCTTCACCCCAACATTTCCCCCTCCCAATGGGTACCACCACTATGAGCTTGCTACATTGCCGCTGTCCTCTGCTGCTGTTACTGATGCTTCCTTACTTATAGGTAAACAAGATAAAACCTTACTCATAAGTAAACCAGCAATCCAAAGACCTGAGTGGACTCTATTCATGGGAGAACAAACATCTGCAGTTTGAACAAAAAGATAACCCAAGTGCAAGACAACGTAGATCGCACTGAAGTTAAGAATCTTTTAAGCCAGAATCGGATCACTCCAAATTACCCCATATTGACAGGCTCCCAATCATGGTGGGTAAAATCAGACAGATTCATAATAATTAAAATCAGACAGACTCGTTGTGGACTGGAGCACCTGACCCCAAAATTTTCAGAAGGCTCCTCCTCGCTCTGGTCATGAGCTACACTCCAGCTAGTGCCACCAATCAGTTGTGGCAAACCATTTCACCTATGTTCACCTCTGAGTTCAGAAAAAGCATTGTGGAAGTTCCAGGAAATCATGTGATCAGCTTTCCACATAGAAGTAGATGGATCAGCAGTTGAGATGGGCAAGCTGACAGATGAGATAACTATAGAAATGGTGTTAAAGAAAGAAAAGAGAGTGTGCGCATGATAAGTAAGCAACATGACAAAAAGGTTTAGACAGTGAGTTCTTTGAAGAATGTTTTTAAAAGCTGCGTATGTTTAAACTGCAGGAAAGAAGATTAAAAAGGAATCCCATCTGAAATCTACCTATTTTTTTAAAGGCCTGATATAAAGAATACTGAAGGCATTTTATGTCTTTTACCATAGACTAGCAAAGAGATCATATTTTTTTTAAAAAATGCAGAAATACAGTTGCTATCTTCTTTTGCAGCATCAAGCTGCTTCTAACGTATGGTAACCCTAACAGGTTTTTTAAAAAAACATATGGAAGATGTTCAGTGGGTGGTTTACCATTGCCACGCATATCCCAACGACTTTTCATTCCTAGTAGGGATTTGAAACCAGGGCTCCTGAGTCCTACTCCAGCACTCTACCCACTAAAACCACACTAGCTCTCTAATGAAAACTTAGAGGATAGAAATTGGAAGGAGGGCATGCATATTTAAAAGTAAGAACTGTAAGCTGTATGGTATAAGCTTACAGCTGGTTCACATGTCCGTGCTAATAAAGATGTCTGCTGCATCAAATAATGACATACATGTCAATGGGACATAATGCCACAGATAATTTTTTCATATCTATAAACATTGTTAAGGGGGGGGGCAGAGGCAAAAGGGATACTTGGCGATGAGTGCAAGACCTGATGGAAAATAAGTGAATGGCCAATGCATGGGGCGGGGGTGGGGGACAAAAATGTGAGTCATGGGAAGGTAGAGGGGTATTACTTTTTCTCAAAGAGAGGTGCCTGATGCACAGGCGTGGATACCTGCAGATGCTCCAGTCTCTCCTTGAGTGATTCCAACATCCTCTCCATCTGGTGCATTCCAGTAGATGTCTCCTTAGGTGGATCCTCCATAGTGTTGGCAGCTGCAGCCCCCTTGCGAAAGGCATCATGGGTGTTGTGCCCTACCTGTAGTTCATGATGCTCCCGCTGTCCAAAATGATGGTATTCATTCTCTCTGGCATGAATGCTTTCATGGGGATCTCGGTGTCCAGCCTCATGATGCCCCCTATGCTCCTCCTCATGATGGGTCGGATGTTCGTTCTCATGATGTGCCCTGTGACTATCCTCATGGTGGGCTCGATGCCCACTCTCGTGAAGGTTTCGAAGGCCCCCTTCATGATGGCCATGTCCATGGCTGCGGTTTTCTTCATGGTGACTTCCGTGGTGCTCTCCACCATGCCTCCGAGAATGCACCTCGCAGCGGCTTAGCTTGGCTGTCAACTCCCGAACTGTCTCCCTCTGGTCCAGGATCATCTCCTTCTGGTGCACCACTGTCTCTCGCAGATGCAGGATTGTTTCCTTGGCTTCCTCAAGAGTCCCTACCCAGTGCCCAGTGCCCCCACTGTTAGTGCCTGCTCCATGTCGCTGCTGGGTAGCTGACTGGCATCCATTATCCATGTCCAGTGGCATAGGACTACAAATAAATTTGGGCAAGGCATATTCAGAAGCTGGTACGAGAGGAGAAAACATGAGGCAAAGCAATGCCCAGTGTAAGGCCATCTCCACGACAGCGATGGTTTTGGAAGGTGGGGAAGGGGGTGGGGAATGGGGAGAGGAGAAGGGTTCAAAATAGATTTGACAGCCGAAGGAAATAGATTATTCTTACTGGAGGCCAAGAACTCACACTGCAGAGGTAGATGCAGCATCAACCATCCAGTCACTCCGTAAAAAACCAAAAATTTAATTAAAAATTTAAGAAAATATTTTTAAAAATCCAAGATTCTTATTTGGTGCCGTTAAAAGAAAGAAGGCCTCTGTTAGAAAGGAGATCCAAATGTCTTTAAAAGAGAAGTGGAAGATAATCCAATCCAATTAGAGTAAATGATGGAGCTACTTAAATCCTGTTGGATCCACCAAGCTGGCAAACGGGAATCAGATGTTGCCCCTAAATGTTTCAGAGACTGGTCGAGTTCCCTCAGCGATCAGAGCCTTTTCTGCCCTCCTTGGTATCTGTGCCTTACTATCCCACAGAACTAAAACTGCCAGCAGGTGGCCTGGCTCTGTGGGCAGGTAAGATTTGTGCTTTTCCTGCCTCTCCTTCCTGTCCAATTTGCCAAATCCCTTTGTGATGAGGAGAGAAGCATCGTCTCCCCTGGCGACCAAGAAATTAATGGGCTTAAGGTGTCATGGCAGAGCTTTTCCCTTCACCCCAGCCTATCCTTCCTATTCTGTTGCTAAGGCCCCTGCTTGGCAGCCTATATGCAGCCCTTGCTCATGACACTGCCCCCAGAAGATAAGAGACCTTGAAAAGCTAGAACTTCACTCTGAGGAATTAAATTATGAGCTAGAAACAGAGAAACTAAGTCTGAGCTTTGAACTAATTTTCATCTGACAAAAATTCATGGTGTGCAGTTCAGTAGGAGCACGTAGATTTTGGCTGTATAAAGCTTGCAAAAAGCAAAAGGGGAAAGGTGTGTGTGTCAAAAAGACTTCCCAGTATTCTATTGCCAGTTAGAGTAGATCCATGGGTTCTATGGGGTTTATGTAAGTGTTTTGCACTGGATTCAGTTGGTCTACTAATTGAAACTACTTTATTAGTAGGATACTGATCAATGTTTGCAGGGGAGATTGATACATTTGATAGGTAGCTAAGTAACTATAATCAATAACTACAGGTAACTATGCAAGTGACACAATTTTGCATGTAAATATTAATGCAACATTCTTTTTTAAGTGAGCACTGCTGATCATTCCCTTAGTCTTTAATTCTCATTTCCAAAAGCTTTGAGTATAGGCAGTAAAACACTGCATAGGGCCAAAATTACAAAAATTATACTACAGTACTGGGCTTGTTGGGAAAAGTAACAGAGAAGGTTGTCATAGAAATGACTGGTACACTTAGAATCCTAGAACAAGTGATTTGGAAGGAGCCTATAAGGCCATCGAATCCAACCCCCTGCTCAATGCAGGAATCCAAGTCAAAGCAGTTCTGACAGATGGTTGTCCAATTTTTCTCTTGAATGCCTTCAGCATTTGAGCACTCACCACCTCTCGAGGTAATTGGTTCCATTGTCATACTGTTCTGACCATTGAGACACTTTTCCTGATATTCAGCCTACATATGGATTGGGGTAGCTTGAGCCCATTGTTATGTTCTGCTTGGGCACTTATAACAGCTAAAGTTTTGGCAGAATAAAAACGGCCAACAATAACTAAATGAGGATGTAGAAAGTGACACTAATGTTTATGTTGTTGTTTAGTCGTTGTGTCTGACTCTTCATGACCCCATGGACCAGAGCACACCAGGCCCTCCTGTCTCCCACTACATCCTGGAGTGGGTCAAATTCATGTTGGTAGCTTCGGTGACACTGTCCAACCATCTCGTCCTCTGTCATTCCCTTCTCCTTTTGCCTTCACACTTTCCCAACATCAGGGTCTTTTCCAGGGAGTCTTCTCTTCTCATGAGATGGCCAAAGTATTGGAGCCTCAGCTTTAGGATCTGTCCTTCCAGTGAGCACTCAGAGTTGATTTATTTCAAAATGGATAGTTTTGTTCTCCTTGCAGTCCAGGGGACTCTCAAGAGTCTCCTCCAGCACCACAATTCAAAAGCATCAATTCTTTGGTGGTCAGTCTTCTTTATGGTCCAGCTTTCACTTCTTCCGGCAGTCTTAATTCCAGCTTGGGATTCATCCAGTCCAGCCTTTCGCATGATGTATTCTGCATATAAATAAGCAGGGGGACAATATACAGCCTTGTCGTACTCCTTTCCCAATTTTGAACCAATCCATTGTTCCATATCCAGTTCTAACTGTTGCTTCCTAACCCATGTATAGATTTCTCAGGAGATATATAAGGTGGTTAGGCACTCCCATTTCTTTAATGACTTGCCACAGTTTGTTGTAGTCGACACAGTCAAAGGCTTTTGCATAGTCAATGAAGCAGAAGTAGATGTTTTTCTGGAACTCTCTGGCTTTCTCCATAATCCAGCGCATGTTAGCAATGTGGTCTCTAATTCCTCTGTCCCTTCAAAATGTTTGTTTTTATATATATTTTTTTTTTGAAGGAGCAGAGGAACTAGAGACCAAATACAGTATATATACTTGTGTCTCTCTATATATATATCCAAAATGCAATCTATTTCCCCATGTGATCACACCTGAGTTTGCACTGAAAATAAAAGGGACTCAGACATGTGTAAGACCCATTAGTTAAATAATTAGTAACTCTGAACATTGACTTCAGTGGGACTTAAAGACAATTCATTTACAGGGGTTCTAAACTCTGTTTTTTTTTGGTCTGGGCTTTCCCCCCCCCTCCTATGCTTCAGACTTTTCCCACACACCTTCTCGTAGGAAATGCTTCTCTTGCAAGTATTTCCAGCATATGTTTTTGATCCTGGTGCAAATTCCATGGTTGCTTTCCCAGCTTTTGAGCTGAAATGGCTCAATGGACTGGAGCACCTGGCTGCAGAGTCAGGGGCCAAATATTCAAATGCTTCACTGTGTCTCCCAGAAAACGTTACAACCGAGAACACCCAGAGCGTATGTGGCTGGTGTAATTATTTGTCCTAAGTGGCTGCGGGCAAGCCACATGGTCTTAGACTTTCATACACAAACAAAAAGGGTCCAGTAAACTTCTGAGTACTTTATACCTAGAACACTGAGGGTTGCCATAAGTTGGAATCAACTTGATGGCACATTATTATTAATATTACTAAAGGTTGAAAGGTGTAGTCAGAGAGAAAACCCACAACACATCACATTGACGTTACTGAAAAAAGAGAAATATTCATGAATTTATTCGCGAAGGCTTTCACGGCCGGGATCTAATGGTTGTTGTGGGTTTTTTCGGGCTCTTTGGCCGTGTTCTGAAGGTTGTTCTTCCTAACGTTTCGCCAGTCTCTGTGGCCGGCATCTTCA